TTATTAAATGTTCTGATAAGCTTGTTATGAAGCTTTAAACGACCACAATGACGTAGGTGTATACAATCATTGCCTTCCTTAAGTGGTGAGATTAAGACTACTCTGTACCTTTCTTTCTACGAACTAATTCTCATTATATGCAATCTTTTTTATACATTACTACCATTGAAGTAACTATTTCTATGAATTAGGTCTTCATCATGTTGTGCTAGTGAGGTATGACAACTTGGATCAATGAATATATGTGCCTGGTCCTAAGTTGTAGATGACTGACTGATTGAAGCCTTAAAGAAACTTTTTAATGACTAAGAGGGAAAACATTAATGAATAAATTATATTTCCTCCTAGTGTTTCATTTACTTCAATGGTTACCTCTTTGTTTTATATCGTTCAGTCCAATCTTTAGTTTCATTGTTCCAATGTCCTTAGAAGGTCAGTATTTTTAACTAACCAATTCAAGGTCATATTGACCTCTCGCCTAACATAACTATCATACCTATTTCGTATTAAAATAAAAAAATACTGAATGAATTAATATTTTTCTGTAACTTTCTATTTACTCTTTTTGTTTTACCTGTCACTGACCTGAAGCGTTTCAATAAACGGTACTAATAGTCTAAAAGAGCGTTCATTGAGTTGGATACCGTTTTGAGCTTTTCTATCCAGTTAATTATTTTTTTAGCTCAATTTCATAAAAAAGTTCCTAAATTAAAACAGGAAATCTTGCTTTAGATTTGTTCCTCAACTATTAACAGCTCGAGATGGAAATAGCATTCTCATTATTTATATACGATGAGTTACTAGGTAGTGATCAATGTTATATTTGTTTTGTCCCTAACTAGCGATCAAACTCTGAGCTATTTACATTATACTAGTCACTAATCACTGATCAACCAATTGTAAATATTTCGGTCCTACAGGAAATCACTAGTTACATGAGTAGCTCAGTTGTATTGTTTCAGACTGTGTAGCAGTGTAAAACGGGAGTTTTATTTATTTCAATATTACAGGTATGGTTTGCTGATGAGTATTAGGAATCACGAAATATTTGTTAATTGTTTCATGTCGATTATCGTTAACCGCCTAACACGCTCATCCATCATCCATCATTTTTTTAAACTACAGTATTTCCTAAATTTTAGCATTTTGGTTGAAACTGAATAATTTTAAAGACTATAAGATAGTAATATTTTTTTCTAATAATGCTACGAAAAAACATTCTGAAAATTTTTAGTATTGAACAGTTTATATCAGAGAAGGTAATTCCGTTAGTCGTCAAGATGATTGTTTATTAGCTTATATTTCTCAGTGTTCTTTGAAATATTATTGATATATATAGTCGAGGCTCTTCCACTTATCAGTGTTGCATTTTGCCTGTATACTAATCAATTTGCAGGACTATCAAAAATGTAGGTAGTGTGTATATCTTCCTAGGTGAATTTTGAAATTATCTGGTGTCCTGGATATCTTGTTATTGGTAAGTTGTTTATATGTTTAATCAAAGTGCTTAGGTAAGGGCGTTTCAGTAAAAGTGAACATAGTAATTAATGAAACTTATCAGTTCAGCTATGTCATTACAAATTTTTCCAATTAGATTTAATTATCAATAGGAGCTAGAAAACATATTATTGATTACAATAAAGTAATCAATCAGTGACTGTACTTAATTGCTTTTTACTTAGAACCGATAACTACTTAGTTGACTTGATTGCAAAGTTTTCAATGTTAGTGATGTTTAATTCAAATTCATAAGTTCACTGAATCATATATGTAAGCGAAATCGATCCTTTCTACTTATCACCTAACATTTTTCAGGGATTTTAGGCTTGTGGTACCATATAACAATAATATATCAAACTCAGAGAACCTCATAACATTGATATATATTGTCAGTTGATGTTTGATGGTACATCAGCTAGTAAAATTTACAATATTCAGTGAAGGTTTTCGTGTTTCTCTTGGATTTCACCCAGTTGTACTGTTCTACTCTATACTATAAAAGCGGAAGTATATCAATCATAATTCTGGTGTTCATTTACCTACCTATATACCTCAGCTTGTTAATTTTGCTCTTTTATTATTATTATAAGAAGTTGAACAATATAAACCAATATATATTCGTTCCACGATCTAATCAGATCTTAAAACTGACACACTATCAATAGAACACTTAAAATCAAAAGTAAATGGACATTATCTCAATGTATTAAATGAAAAAAAGAAATAAGATTCAGATATTCTTTAATCCTTTTTGTTAAGATGATTAGATAATATAGTTAAAAGCATCAGTCAATTAAAGCTAGTCCACCTAGGAAAACCTGGAAGCACTGGACGGCTGTTTCGTCCTATTTGTAAGACTCCTCAATGGGATGAAACAGCCGTCAAGTGCTTCCAAGTTTTCCTTGGTAGTCTAGCCTCAATTGACTCATGTTTTCAGCTATGAAAATACTGAAACCTCTACAAAACTCCTTCTGATTAAATATTACTTTTTTTTTCATGTTTGTTTGAAAGTAATATGTTTACATTTCTGGTGCAAAAGTATTGATTTTTGAAATATTGATTATTGCTTTCGTTTTTTATTTTTCTTTATAAGTAATAAGTATAGGCGTTGACAAGTCAATATGAAAATGATTAATCATTATTTCTAATTGACCAGTAATTCATTCAATTTTTTTATTTATTATTCTCATTTATAGAATTAAAGTAAAAAAAAATTATAATTCCCCTATTTAATTCATTGTATACAGTTGCTATAGTATATAATGATATGGATACAAATTTTTACTATTCAATGAAAGTAAACTGATATCGATGTATGACTCACGTAAATTCATGATACTTTAGTGTAACCACTTAAATATGTGTTAATAAGGAAATTATTGTTAATGGAAAATGAAAAATAAAGTAATATTATATCATGAATATCAGTGTTAATATTGACACTTATTTTATATTTTAAGTTACTCCCAATTGAGCATAGGTCGCCGACCAGTATTCACCAACCCACTCTATCCTAGGCCTTCCTTTCTGGTTCTATCCAATTTTTGTTCATTCTTCTCATGTCTGTCTCCATTTCTCGGAGTAATGTGTTCTTTGGTCTTCGTCTTCTTCTTGGGCTTTCATGATTCCATGTGATGGTGGTCTAACTTCAATTGACTAATGATTTCAACTGTGAAAATACTAAATTCTCCACAAAACCCCCCTCTGATCTATATCAAATATGACATGATATTTTGAATTGGTCAATCAATGGTACTTTTCTTACCTGTTTTTAATTCTAACATAAAAATTATATAAAAGAATATTTAGAATGATATGTAGCAAAAATAAAATGTTTGTCCTTCAGTTGTTCCTCAGAAATATGAAGAAACCCATTTTAAACCACTTGATCATTTTTTAGTAACCGGTGTCACGCTACCTAATTAAATTCTATTCAAAAAGATGTAATGTATTCATCAGTCTTAATGACGCAACATAATGATGCAATTTTTAATAGTTGGAACATGTCAAAATGGTATATGTATAACCTTGAGGCAACTAAAGTTACCAATATCACCGTATGAAAATTATCAATGAATTATTTAAGTCATTTGAATGACTTATTCTAACTAGCACGAATTTTGTGTTGGCTGATTCCTACCGAATTTCCTCTAACAACTCAACATCAAGAACGATTTATAGTTTGATAAAGTTTACAAACCCAGTATACTTAAAAAATTAAATTCTTTTAAATCATCATATTTCCAAATTAACCGTAATATTGTAAAGTTGTTCAAATGGTTTCATAGTATTCGTGGGCCGAGTTGATGTAAGAAATTAAGGAGGAAGAACGTATTTATAAAATCTCAACGAATGAATTTGAAGTAAATCTGACGTTTCATCTGGAAATCTGGTTCCTATTTAATTGTACAGTTATTATTTAATTGATTCTCAAGGACAATAATGACGATATACTATGATAAAATCTGGAAGCACTGGACGGCCGTTTCGTCCTATTGTGAGACTCCTCAGCAGTGCACATCCACGACCTCGACTCGCGAGATTCGAACCCAGGACCTGTCAGTCTCACGCGTGAGCGCTTAACCACTAGACCACTAAGCCAGCATCTGATTGTGTTAATGTCTAACTTCAACCAATCCACGAAGTTGAGCAACCGTTCACCAATTGTCTCCAGTGCTTCCAGTTTTTCCCTGGTGGTTTAGCTTCAATTGACTCACGCTTTCAACAATGAAAATACTAAATCTCCACAAAAAACCCCTTCTGATATGATAAAACCATTAAAAAAAGTCAATACATCAGAATAAAATAAATTGGCCAAAGAAAAAATATTAATATATATTTCAGTTATTTTTACTCTTCCCGGATGAAAATCAACTGTGGAATATGAATAAATACCTGAAATCAAAACAATAACATTTGATTAGTCACACAAAAAAAACACAATGAAATTGGCAAACAACCTGTAGTTTACTTTTATGATTACAGCATAGTTTCAAAATATAACAGTATATATAATATATATATCCAATATGATCATTGGAGTAAATGCTGCAATGTAAACACACTGGGTACCTATTACTTTATCTTTCCTAATCATAGATGATACATGATAATTCTGATTAAATAGATATGAATTTAAAGGTATTTTACTAGATGAACGGAGAAACTTTCAATTGATCCATAGCAACATCAAGATTCATTTGATTTTTTGGTTCATAGATGGATGAAACAGTATAAATGTGTAAAAGAAAATCAATTTATTTCTTTTCAAGTATTCTATACATAGATGTATAATTGTACTTTGTTATGAATTGTTGATTTTTAAATGTCTGTTTGTATATGTATGTACTTACCAGTGTGTGTGTGTGTATGGTTACGTGTTTAAACCGATTTATGTATTTTGAGTACATAGTTATTAGGTTAATATTGATGTATATGAAAACAATTATGATGTCAGTGAGTTGAGAAAATATAAAATTTGATAAAAGTGCATAGAGATTAATAAATAACAATTTTAATAGTAGTATCTTCATAAACAAACGTATAATAATGATTATCTTGTTCAACATTATAACGATCATAAATTTATTATGTAAGTTTGAAAGATTTCATTGTAAAAATTAAACAACTATGATATGATTACACCATTTTTTTAAAGCAAAAACGAAACTCCCATCATGGATTCCACTGCTGTCCACTATCCATCTTTGCTTATAGAAACCAGAAATTCATAAAGCATTCATCGTCAACTTAGTATTAACGATCATTATTAAATGTTTCAAGGATATTTATCCCAGTTATTAACGAAATATTCAGATTGATTTAGATAGGAAACATTAGCTTTAGTAATCAAAATTAGCTATTCTGGTGTGTTTTAAGTTTCATGATTATAAACGATTAAGAAGCTTTAGATTTCGACGAAATACATTATTCCAACACTACATATCAAACAGTAATTTCTAACGATTATTTATAAGACAGAACTTTCTTCAATATATGTACGAACGTCTTTCAAGAGAACAACATTATCATATTTTATAGAATCTTGTTAATAGTGATAATCAAAATACTGGGGAAGTTTTAAATATCAGTAGAGGGATTTGTGGAGATTTTAGTGATTTTATATAGTTGAGATCATGGGTTCATTGAAGCTAGACCATCTTGGAAAACCTGGAAGCACTGGACGACCGTTTCGTCCCACTATGGGACTCCTCAGAAGTGCGCATCCACGATCCTGCCTCACGAGATTCGAACCAACGACCTATCAGTCTCGCGCCAGAGCGCTTAACCACTAGTCCACTGAGCCGGCAGGCAACCAACGGTGTTAATGTCCAACTTCAACCAATCCACGAGATTGAGCAACCATTCACGAATGTCTTCAGTAAGTTGATATCTCACAAGAGACCTGGTTGAACTCCACTGGTTACTGCTTCTCACTAGAACTCCAGGAAATGCCTCATGGAGCCAGTCACTAGTGAGCATATGATCATCATCAGAAAGGGGGTTTTGTGGAGATTTTAGTTATTTTTATGTAGTTGAGATCATGAGTCATCCTATATTTTATTTTCACTATTTATTTGATGTTAGTATTATAATGACATATATGTATATTTGTTTTGTAAACGATACAGGAAGTGTATCCAAAACAAAGATGTGTAATTATAGTAGATGAATATGTTTGGCGTAAAGTTTCCCATAGAAAAGTATTTTGTCGTATATTTTAACCCATGTAATAAACTATCATTAATTATATTCTATAAATGACATTCATTCATTAATTCCTAAACAAATAAAACTGAAGTAACTAGACTATTCATGTCAGTTACAAATTGGTTTTCTTGTTGTCAGTCAACTTCATTTATCATTTTGTACATCTGTTATATATATGTATATATAGTACACGTTTAAGCTTCAATAATGTTTGTCACCTTATAGAAACCTGGTATAGTTAATTTTGTAATACGGAGAAGTCCTCAAATATTTCATAAAGCATTACAAAATACCAGGATTTCATCAAAATATATCAACATTGACTAATCATTTATCTACCAACCTGATATGCTGAGTTTATCATGATTCATGTTGACTTTTAAGATTAAACTGAATTTTATTTAAGAAATTAAACTAATTTTGGATAGTAATCAGTAGGTCTTAATTTAATGTAGTTAACTAACGTTTATTCATAACAAAATAGGTGTTAAGTGTTTAGCATAATCGATTCTTCTTTTTCTTCTTCTTAGATGTCAATTTCATCGACTAATTCACTGAATGATATATGTTCAGGACTCGATAATGGTATTTGTTATATATATATTAGTAGTGGATATCAATGAGTATAAATGACTTTATATCTGTTGATCTTATCTATCCGAAATCCCTTGGAATGTCATTGGCAAATATTTATTTTAGTTGAAAGCGTGAGTCAATTGAAGCTAGACCACCATGGAAAACCTGGAAACACTGGACGGCCGTTTCGTCCTATTATGGGACTCCTCAGCAGTACGCATCCACGAACCCACTCTCGCGAGCGAGATTCGAACCCAGGACCTACCTGTCTCGAGCCGAAGCCCTTAACCGATAGACCCATAATAGGACGAAACGGCCGTCCAGTGTTTCCAGGTTTTCCATGGTGGTCTAGCTTCAATTGACTCACGCTTTCAACTATAGTAAATACTAAATCTCCACAAAAACCCCTTCTATAATAAATATTTATTTATTTTGACAACCATGGTAAACGATTTGATCTAGTGATTATAGTTAGCATTGATTACTAAACAGAACGATACTTATTGATACGTGGTGTTTTGGGTTTAAGCTGGTCTACTATCCACTGTGTAATATGGGTAAACAATCATTAATTGAAGTACAAAGTGAAAAAACTAGCACGCCTTAAATCATTTCTTTCACTCATTTTTTACACGTTACTCAGTTGAAGTAACTTTTTTGTGCCGATCATCTTTTGTTATTTCTAATCTCATACAATCAACTACAGAATTAAGTTATTAACTTTCATTAGACACATGCCAAAATTGATCAATAGAATTTAGTTAGAATTCATAAATGGACAATATAACTCATGTAACAATGTAACTGGCGTTTCTGATATATCGTTTAGGTTTCATACTAAGGATCGGTTAAAATATGTTTTTATAATTGATATCACACACCTATTCAACATTTCTTGATTTTTATTAGTCCGATTTTCAGTTTGCTTTTCATTTATGCTAGAAAGTGTACTTAGAAACAACGAGTTATTTGATTGCTCTTTTTTCGATATTTCAAAAGATCTTATTTTGCATTGTTTCCTTTGTACGATTTAAACTTGTTTTAATTTCATTTCGGTTATTTGTTTACTCTGAAGAAGCTACCTAGATTAAGTCACAAAACGACAGAGATACAATTTCTCTACTCATTTGGTTATCACAAAAAAATATTTATTATGATCTTAATTATTCTTATCTGCTAAAAATTGTTATGTAATAGACAAGAGTTAATTAGAGATGTTATTAATGAAAATTGAATTGTTGTTTCGATTTATGAAGTTGGCTTAAAGCAGAACAATGACCGATGGGAAATTTCATTCAAGTGAAATGCAAATATAGATTGAGAAAAACCTATTTAACTGTATTTAATATCATTTGAATTTTTGTTCTAAACCTGAGCTAAACTGACTGAAGTAAGTACTATCAATAGATGCTAAGATTTTTCAGTAAAGAATTCTACTGGGTCATGCAACTTAAATAATGTTCGAACTACTTTTCTGATGCTTGATTTTTGTATAACATTTATGGATGGCAGTTCTATCTTCCCAATAATGTTTGCATATATCATATCAAAGTTAACATCAACGTCTTCTCTTCTTTTCAAGAACTATGATGATAATCTACAGATTGAACTCTTCAAATTTATAGATTCTCGTTCAAGAATAACTAAATAAAGACTGGTAGCGACTGTTAGAAAGTGCGGTAGTGAAATCTATCACTACAAATGACACCACAGTTATTTGTAAATTACTGATCATCACGCAAGTTATCAGAAAAAAGTATAACAGACAGTGTTTAGAGGCCTAAATTATTGTTTTCATAGCTTGTTAATATTCATCAGTGACATGTAACGGGAAATTGAAAAAGTCATACAGTTACTTAAAACATAAAAAACTCAAGCATTTTAACCATAGCCAAAGTATCAACATTGGTCTAATAACTAGGAGCTTTTTGTTCATGAGAAAATGCCAAAAAGCCAACAACTAAATGCCTAGCGCTATTTCTTAATAATAAGAATAATAAACCGAGCTCAGATCAATAAATCTCCTGAGTTTTAGTAAAAGGTAGCCAGACTGTCTGTATCATTCGATAAGGTAATTTATCTAATATGTTTCATTATTTAACTAGGCATTAATATGACATATATATATATATATATATATATATATATATATATATATATATATATATATATATATAGCATACTCAATATTGTGTAGTGTACTTAAAGTTAAGTTTCCCTGCGACAGTTAAGTAATTTTATGTCCTACAACATATAAGTTAACAGAGTTCAAAGTATGTTTCTTACACATTGTAGTCACATTCGAACTTACAATCATTTTATCTAGGGTATTATGACTTGGATGTTCAGTTTTCCACTTATTTATATTTAGTTTTATTATCCCGACTACTGACAAGTAGTAAATATGATTATTTAAACTATTCGTTTGTAAGACATTTCATTGCGATGATGAACCGATTAATATTAGACCATCATTGAAAACCTGGAAGCACTGGACTAGGATTTTCCAGGGCTTCATTTTTTCCGGCTTTATAAAATTTGTTAATATATTCGAAATGTACAGAATTTTTTAAAGCCATAGACGGAAGGAAAATATTCTCTTCCAAGATCATTAAATATACTAAGTTTGTTCTTTCTGTCGTTTTATATATAAGGTGAATTAAGATAGTGGTTAGAGGTGGTCAACAGGAAACCCTGGACCCGGTGTTCGTGCTACTCGGCACTCGTCAACAAGGTGTACCTGTGATCTTGAGGTACTCCCTGACGGATTCGATCCCGTGTCACTCAGCTTCACAGTCAGAGATATTACCCCTGGGTGTCAAGTCCTGTTGATCACCTCCAACCACCATCATATCTCAACATAGTGCACGCAGTGTCGAACCACCCAGACTAGTGGCCACATTGCAACTTGATCGATAGCATTCGATGAGGACTAAGAAGAATTCTATACGCATGACATTGATCACCACCCAGTGATCAATCAAGGGTGAATTCGTTTTTTCGCAGCATACAGTTTGAAGCTTGGTTCATTCACTTTAAATTCGTTCCATAGGAAATACAGTATATTGAGCTCTGTATCTTTGGTAGTTCGATTATAATTTTTCTAAAACCAATATGATATTTTGTGAGATTATGAAGTTGTGTAGATTTTTGGGGGATAATTTTGGTTAAATTACATCCTCTGATCACGGTGATTTTATCGCCAAGCTTTCATTGACTTTCTAGGGGATATCATTCATAACTTTTTTGTGTTTTACAGATAATGTGAATTGTAATTATTCAAGCATCATCCAACCTGTCATTTATGGAGGTCAACGATTAATCGTGAATCAGAATGGAAAAGTAGATTTTATGAAACCAGAAATCTTTAGTATCAATAGTCAATCACAAAATATTCAACCTGGATTTAAACAATCAGTAGAAGATATTTCAAAAGATAAAAGACAAATAGCACAAAATCACTTTTTTCATAGTATACAAATTCCTGAAAGTTTAATACAATTTCTTCTTGATCGATTTGTTTCAATAAGTTATACTGTTCGTGGATTCAGAACAGTAAAACCAAAACATTTATGCGGTGGTCTACTTATTAGTAATAATTGGATATTAACTGCAGCTCATTGTATTAGTCCATTTCAAAGGTATTCTAATTATTTTTTATATTTTTTTCTCATTAAATATAGTAGTGTTAATAACCTTCAAATATCCAAATTACATCAACATATGGATAAATCATCATCCATTCATTTTATACCTAAAAATATACCAAGATCAATTGAAGCCTTAATTCTTCATCCAAATTTTACACAACAACAAAGTTTATCACCAGATATTGGTTTAATTCAATTACAAAGCTCTATTCTTAATTCAATTAATAATGAAATGTATAATTATGAAGAATTGAAACATTTTTTATTATTAAATGATAAACTACTTATTAATAATCAACAGTATATATGTATAGTTTCGGGTGTTGGTCATTTAAATTATCGTAATATAATGAATGAAAATTCTAATAATTGTATAAGTTTCTAATTATGATAAAAGTATAATTGATTACATTTTATTGAGTATAGATTTTCATGTAGCATTTGTACATCTTGAATCATGTAGTAAATTATGGAAGAAATTACAGTTAGTAACAGAAACTAAACAAAATCATGGCCAACAAGAAGAAGAAAATGAATGGATAACTATTTGTAGACAAATTTTAATTGATAATTCTATTAGTCAAAAGTGTCCTTTTAGTTATTTATGCGCTGGTGGTAGATATGTTGATGGTGATACATGTCAAGGAGATAGTGGTGGACCACTTTTATGTATTGAATCACAATATTATTCGAAATTTATAAAGGTAAGAGGTTTATTTTAAACATATTTTTGAATGAGTTTTTTTTATTTATTGGCAAAAGTGAAGTAAAATAATAAATTTTAATAGTTGAAATCATGAGTAAATTGAGGCTAGACCATCATGGAAAACCTGGAAGCACTGGACGGTCGTTTCGTCCTATTGTGAGACTCCTCAGCAGTGCGCATCCACGATCCCACCTCGCTAGATTCGAACCCAGGGATTAACAGTCTCGCGCACGAATGCTTAACCAGTAGACCACTGAGCCGGCCGGCATCTAATGGTGTTAATGTTCGACTTCAACCAATCCACAAAATCGAGTCACCATTCACCATTTTCTTCAGTGGGTTACTATCTCACAACAGACCTGGTTGAACTCCATTGATCACTGCTTCTCACTAGAATTTCAGGAAATACCTCATGAAGTCAGTCACTAGTGAGCATATGAATGATAAATAACTGATCATTTAATTCAAGTTATAGGGTTGTAATACAGTTCGATAAAGACAAATGTACAAAAGGTGTAGAGATTGGTAAAGGAAGCTAAAAGCAGGAGGAGATAGAAAATAAATATATTAGTAATTCATTAAGGCAGAGTTGACTTATTCTGATGAGTTTTGTCTGAGATATTTGCGTATTTCGAAACTTCGTTCATGTTCAGCTTATATTGTTCAACGTCAGTGATGTGGAAGCCAAAATCAAAGCTAAACTTTAACATATTAAGCAGTATATTTATTTAATATTTGAGGTTATGCCTACTAAAATATATCAAATCACACTTTTCAGATATTAACCAAAATACAAATCGATGAAAAATTCTATTACTACTACTACTACTACTACTACTATTAATATTACTACTAACATAACTGGAGATTTTGAATTAACAATCTAATTGTCTTAAACATATTTGTTGCCAAGATAGAAGAGCAGTCTTTTACGCCAATTTTGTTTATTGATTAATTGCTATTGTGATAATTTAAAACTTTGTGATTTTAATAAGTTTCATTCCAAATAAATTACTGCTAAATTTTGAAAATGAAATAGGTGATCATATATGTAAATTATTAAGGTTCTCTCTTAATTTTCTGAAACGATAAATAACATTTATGTTAAATCGGATAGTTAAGTACTGGAAATATTTCGTGTAAAATTTACAGCTTTTCATGTGATTGTAGAGTAAATCAATTATACATAGCAAGTTTGAATAGTCAGGATAATGTTATATAAATTATTAGGCTTGTCTTTACCAGAGATCGATCTTAGCTGAAGGATCATCGAAAACTAGTGAGCATTGGACTGAAGTCTCCTCGTTGTTCAGAATTACTCATCGGTGACGGAATAAGACCATACACCAAAGTGAACCTAGAAACTTCATGCTTTATATCGAATGTATTACTTTTAACCACAAAGTCGAAGTTCATTGTTTGACATTTTGAAATTCAGTAAATTTGCTGCGCAGCCCATTGGTTATTCCAAATGGTTGCAGAAATGAATATTACTTTTGGCCAGATCAAGTTTCACCAGTAATGCTAGCTTTTAAAATAGAGCATTATAATCTGCAAAACTATCCGTTACTAACTTGCTGGGGAAAATTGCATTAAATTTTGATGGTGATAACATATAGAATTAGTAGAATAAATGATGAATACAAATCGATTGTCGACTGTCTAACGAAGATGTTAGACTACGTTAAAAGGTGACTTTAAAATATGGGATAGCAACCACCATAGTACAGTTTTCATTGAGATCAATAATCGATCAATGTTAGACCAACATTTAAAACCTGGCAGCATTGGATATCTGTTTCGTCCCAGCACGGGAATCCAACCCATGACCTCCAATCTTGAATGCGAACGCAAACCTCTGGCCCACTGAGCCGGCATTCAACGGTGTTAACGTCTAACTTCAATCAATCCGTGAGATTGCATAACCCATTGTCTGAGGTGGATAACTGTCTCACATCTGACACCGATTGGGCTCCACTAGCCACAGCTTCTCACTAGAACTGTGAAAATATGACAATCTCCACGGTACCGCACATGGATAAGCACTGCTGAAGAGTCACATACTAGGACGAAACAGCCATTCAGTGCTTCGGGGTTTTCAGTGGTAGTCTAACATTGATCGATTCTTGATCTCAATCAAAAGTCAACAATCTCCACAACCCTATAGTGACAGTATATTTTATTGATTACTGAATGATAATCTACTCATCATGCCATAACAACCATAAATTGTTGACTTTACTAGCTTACTAGCAAATATAGTTTGTTTGGCTTCATTGCGATTACTGAAACTTTTTCAACTCCGATCTCTTAGTTAAATTTACTAAACTGATATCAGGTTATAAAAATTACCACTATTTTATCAATAACACTTATTTTGTGTTCAATGATTGTTTGTATATAGTTATTAGAATATTCTAGAGACTGTTTACTGAAAGTTAGTCATAACTCTTACAATCTCTTTCTAAAAAATATGAATAGTTTTATTCCATATTCTGATCCTCTTTTATTCTTAACTTTGTTTTACTATAAAAGAAATATCCTTAAACTATATAGATATATAGTTAGTCCTAACCTATTTACCATTAGGTAGAAATAAGGTCATTTCCTAAAATAATCATCAATGTTATTGTTCTCACTTATCCACAAACTGGATATGAGATAGCAATGTCTTTTTTTGTTCACTAATTATATATTATATCTCTTTTGATTGCTTCCCTCTCTCTCATATATATACTCCCTCAACTTTCTAACTTTTATGAAAATAAGAATAGATTAACCTACCATTCAATTGAGTGTGTTCAATAGGCGTAAGAGAACCGATTGTCAGAGAAACCTAAGACGAACCCACTTTATTATTATTAAGATCTAAAACATATTTTCTTAAAGTATGGACTAGTTAACGAAGTTTCGCAGTGAGTGCTGTAAAGTGTAATAATGAGTTCATAATAGTTCAAGCGATAATCATCATTCAAAATATCGTATTCATGTCTTGAATATTATTATTTATCAAATCGATATTTCTTCGTATATCTTTAGGTACGCTCATACATATGACTTGGCTTTAGGAAATTAGGTAGGCATAAGTAGGAAAAGCATGATGAAAGGTTGAATTACTTAATAGATGGTTGTAGTATCTTGACTATTTTATTTTTGTATACATATCCTCATGTTAAAGTCCTTTTTAATAGGAAGGAAGAATTGTTTTTGAAAGGAAATTTAGGATAAATATACACTACTGATGAGTAACTAATGTCATGTTGATGAGGCCTTATTGAAAGTTGTTTTATGTTTAATTATAGATGTAGTACAATCGCAAATGTATGGTACGGAAAATTACCACAGGTTTAATGAAAATGACTTCTTGTTGGCATCATTTGTCAAAGAATAATACAGAAAGAAAATGGATCTCTTAACATTAGCTAACTTTATCCCAATAATGTAATAAAATTAAGAAATTAGATATGGGAAAACATCAAGAATTTTCAGTAGTGACAATCTTCGATGCTCAATGGAATTCTTGAATATTCTTGTGGCTTACTAACTAGTGTTGAGTAAAGCTAAAGGTTATGGGAAGAAGTATAAAAAGCTGGAGTATACATATCTGATTATTGTCACTAAAAGTGTAACTTAATACCAGTTTGTTTTAAAGTGTTGCGTTATTGTGTGAATTGATAATGTCATTTTCAAAATATTCTTTTTAATCCTCAGCAATGGTTCGTTGCTGGTATTGCGTCATCAGGAATTCAGTGTGGTTTGAATGGGATTCCATCAATCTATACACCAATATATCCCTATTTGAGTTGGATCGAATTCATTACAGGATACGGAAAACTGAAACCTTTCGAGTAAACTTTGTATTCATGATTGGGACTACTTGAATCTATTTCAGTAGCTCTACAGTGACGAGAATAATTATGCAGTTTATCCATTTTACGCGAATTAAAATAGTGAATGATTCGATACTTGTCTTACTTTTTTTAATCGACAATAGTAGAGGGTGTTTTGCCTAGCTAGTTAGTCATACTTGTCTTATGTTAGGACATATGTAATAAGATGACTGCTCTGATTGATACTAGATCTCACATCTATGGAAAAAACCATGCATCATGAGCCTATAGGTTAGTTTATATTTCACATTGGTATAATGTTTATTGGTGAATAAATTCAATTGATAGTACTAGTGTAAAACAACATTATCGGTTTGTAGTTATTTTTAGTCAGACTGCCTGTAAATTATAGATGCCTCGGTTAATTTTTCAGTCTGACTTCATTCGTCACATTTCTTGGTATGAAGCGAACATTCTATGCACATGCAAAATTATCAGGATCAAACATAAATTCACTTTATTTTCTGAAACCACTAGATCTACCTCCAGCACTAGTCAAAAATGATGTTTTAATAACATATTGATTGTGCAATGTCGCGGTTTCTTTATACATTTTACCTTCAACAACCACATTTGACTGACAACCGATTGTTAAGCGGACACATAATTAAGGGAGCTACTCAAGTGAGGTGATAAATTACAGCCAGGTCTTGTGCATTTGTGGTGAGATATTTCGGTTTTCAAGCATCCAGGAACATTGTAACTTCCAATGTAGTTAGTTAATATATATGGATATGTTATCCATTTTGAGGACCACTAAGCACCAGATAAAAGCTTCTTCTCCTTACTCTTAATCCACGACTCACACCTTATTGAATTTAGATCTTTTATGTCTTGTAGTAAGTGCATTAACTTTGAACCACTCAGATGGAGTCCTATAGTTCTTGGTTTCAATGTCAAAAATTTGGGATTGTATCACCCACAAAATCGGTAACCGTTTTAGCCTCTGTGAAATGAACTAAAGAGTAGTCAAATTTAAGCCATTAATCTCTATTAATACCTAAGTGATATGTAATCCGCAGTCTGTAGTAGTGGTCTATATATATTATGGTAGTAAAATGCACTGACATCTCATAAAAGAACAGATATTACCAATTAAATTACGGTTTACAATACCAATAGTAATACACCGTATCATAAACAAACTGTGTGATTTTCCCTTCGACTTTCACTCTTTTTGTCTTCTTGTGGATTCGGGAGTTTACGTATTAATTAGATATTCAAATGGGTTAATCACCCAACCAACGGACTTTATTCAACATATGCTATTGATATGTGATACGTCTTGTAAGGTGAACGCTATATTCAGATCCTAAGCTATTCTGATAACCCCAGGCTAGAACTATTCAGCGACTTGAACACCAGAGAGAAGACACGAGTATGAGAGAAACACTTTACTACAAGGTTCAATCTTGTTACAGAAAATCATAGGTATTTATAGATGTTAGCCAATCCATTATCGACATATTATGATACCGACCAATAGTATCACGCCACGTTGGAACTCTAGAATGTTCCATCGTATTCTGATTGGCCGGGGCTCTTTATGAGCCTCTGGAGGCTCTGTTAGAGTTCTCCGGAAGCCGACTCAACAATATGGATGGCAATAAATTTGCTAAATGTAATTCTGGTTATTTACGTACGAATATTTTGAAGTGGGAGAGAAATTGTGTAGCTTAATAAAGTGTTTTTACGGTATCGTATTTATGATCCTGAATGATATAATTGTGATTCTTTCATTACCTATCTGGGGAATAATATCAGCACAAGCTTAAAAGTAAATTTTGAGAACTGTTTCACGTATTTTCCTCAGCTAACTTTATCAACTTTGGATACAGATGGTGACTGAAATAGAATCTGTGTGGAATAGAGGGTGTTTCCCTCATCATTGAGGAAAAGAAGAAATACAGTCCAGATTTTGAACCCTCTTCCTAGTTTCCTCAAATAAGTAATAACAAATAATCTGTGTCATGTATTCATTAACCTGCTAAAATGTTTGAGACTGAATGTTTGTAAGCACAAGCTCAGAGCTAATGATTTTCTTTGTAATTTGCTCTACTTGTGGATTTGTGAGTAGTGTACATTTAAACACACAATTATGACAATTGGACAAAGCAGGACAAATTATCTAACGTAATCCGAAAATATGTATAAAATAAAACCTAGTTTTGTGGTATCCGACAATGACTAAATAAATAGTAATTGCCAGGATTAATTTATGGGCCATTATTATATACATATTATTACTCTATGATCAATAGTTTACTAGATTACATGCATATAATTATATACATTCCTATTATCACGAGCTTTGATTAACCCCTTAACTACTGTTGTATGATATACTATTCTTAATCTGTTCCCAGTTTATTATTCAGTCTCCCTTACACACTGCCACTTTTTGACGTGATTATATTTAATCTGTATTTCCCATTTTAAGGTGTGATGTGGTCATGTATACCTGTAAATAAACTACTCATGTTTAAAACATAATATTCTTATTGTGCAGACTGATTATTGTATTTTGAACTTAACGGGCAGGACAGAGTGGGAAGCTAAGGTATTAAAGACCTATAAGGGCTTGGTGTTTACTCAATGTTATTAGTGATGAATAGATTCCCAATGGTGTTTTATCAGGTGATATTAGTGAGCCGCCATAAGGCTTAGCAGGTCACTTTAATGATTATCGAATTTATAATTGACTGGAGTAAAGACTATCATTTATAGGAGGATAAAAGGGTCAGGAGACGTAATAGGTCATCAGCTACGGTTCAAAACGGTGAAAGTGGCGACAATTTGCTATTGTTGGTATTCTGGTAAAGAAAGTTTATAGATTTTCGAAACTATTACAAACAAAAATTTGTTCTTGTTTTATTCAACATGTGCATTTGATAGTTTTAATTAACACTTGTCGGTTTATTTTTGATCACACCTATACTGCAATTCAACATCGTTTCCATACGTTACATGTCTAGTTCAGAATGTAGTTGTTCATTAAGCTTCTATTTAGTTCTTGTATTTAGGAAAAGATTGTAATCAACAATTTTAGGAGTTTATTGGTCAAATTATTCTTTGAATTCTGAAAAACGTAAAGTTAGTCTATGTTACTTAATTTTGAAGTGATCTTCAATTCATTCAACTTGATTTATGAATAACGTTTTCTTACAAAGTTCTTTTTCCTAGTCGCTTACTTTAGGCATATATCGTTTTTATAGTAAAATGTGGTACTTAAAGGTCAAACTTTTCTGAAACTTTAACAGAAACGAATTCACTTAGTATTGTTTGTTTGAATCTTCCCATTGATGTTTAGGACTGCAATTGATCAGTCTCTTATTGGCCAAATGTACATACTGTGCGTATTGTTTCGATATAGCCTTAATTCACAAGCATTGTAAGCAAAGATGGATAGTGGCTAGCAGTGGAATCCAGGAAGTGCGTTTCGTCCTATCTAGGACTCGTCAGCTGGATGTACCTGTATCTCCGAGTTGATGTTCACTGTGGGACTCGAGCCCAGTACCTTTCGCTCCAAATGCCATCGCGTTATCCACTCAGCTACTGAGTTCCTGACGTTTTAATAAAATCCTGTGAACTGTGAAGTCTTTCAGCTTGTAAGGAAAATATCCAAATATCTACTGATAATAATGGATTATGGACTTACAATATTAAGAAATGAGTGTTGCTGGAAATATAGATCATCGAATTTTAACTCAATGGTCTGTGTTCATTATTTTCATATCAAGACTTGAAGGCCTTATATCCAGTTCCTCCCAAAGTTACGAGTAAGTTGAGCTCCAACAATGTATAATATGGTACCCCCAACCCATTCCAAACAATGAATTCACACAATTAATTGGGACTAGTATAAAATATCATATTGGTAATAATATTTATAAAGACTGAATTATCATGAAATATTATTACTGTTATATTAAAAGTTCCGTTGTTCAAACAAAAAAGTACAATATACTTCTTTGTTTAAATATTTGTAGATTTCTAAATTTAAAAAAATAAATAAACACATGATTGTAACAAGAAAAGATAGTGTGAAGTAAATTGTCAGTGGGTTCATCCAATTCAGTTACTGGTTCTTGATAGAATCAGATATAAACTGAAAATCGTAGATACTAAAATGTGGAAAAAAAAGTCGGTCAACAATAAAAGAAATAGATCAATAGTTGTTTTACCTTGATTAGTTATTCTTAGTAAAGTAAACAGACGTATTTAGATTAAACTAAAAACAAATATATAATATACTTATTGACTTAAGTATTATGTTACGAGTAGTATCTGTTATATGCTGGGTATTTACTAGATTTGGTTATTTAAGGAAATATAGATGACTTTGTAATTTATATTGTAAAAACAATTTTACGTTTCAAACTTGTGCTTAAGTTATATTCTGTCAATCAAGAATAGTAATGGTTCTGATAAGTTAAATGATTTAAGCATCTGGGCTACCTGTTCCTGTCATCAAGATATTTCAACAGGTTATTTAATTTCGTTTGTTTTAATACATCACTATGCCTATTAATCGCACAATCTATTCAGGTGCGTTTCTGAAAAGTGTAAGACCTTTCGCTGTAAAGGTTACAGAAGGCCTAATCAGAGATATCGTGGTTGCTGGCAATATGCAGCGAGAAGAATGTACATTATCCAGATGTAGATTGACTGGGCTGCTAACTTCTAACTGGCGATCACTCAATATTTATCGTCAGGAAGGACGAAGAAGTAAGAAACGGAAAGTTGTTGAAGTAGTTTGTGCTGAGAATTCTATATTGTACCAAAAATATAATATTGAATAAAGTTAATAATAATAATAAATGCCGAGTTCAACAACATTTATTAAAGTAGCATCTCTAGAAATTCTAAGAAGAAAACGTCTGCTTTCACTCTGATAATCAAATCGTAGTGATTTGGTAGAGGAAAATTATTGTTAAATTGATAAAAAATTCATTGCTTAGGTGGGTTTTTTTTGATAGGATTAATAAATAGCTAATCTCCCAACGTCGTTCTGGACAATATTATTAGTACTTAGTTCTAGATTAAGTAAAATCTGAGAGTGGTACAGGCTTATCCGAAAAATGACAGTTAATTCGATCTGCAATTACTAGAGGTATCTGTTATATCCTAGTGAAGACATAAGCGCTGGTAACTTCCAGAACCTATTAACGGATGATTATTCTATATAAATATCCTTATTGTATGACTATTCAGTAATTAGGTTGTGTATATCATCTTATTACAAGCTTCATTTTGATATATGAATTATTAATATACGCATTACTTTTCCCAGATTATGTTCAGTTTATTAATTACCGTTTCCCACGTTCACAGCCACATTTGACTTGATCTTGTACAAATGTTCTTTCCTATTTTATGGTGTGATGCGTTCTGTCTGTCTGGTATATAAACCGAGTATGCTTGAAATAAATTATTCGTATAGCATAAGCTGTTATCGGTGTTCTGGACTCAATTGGAAGGGTTAGGTGGACAAAAGATCAATAAGGACGCTAGACTACTCATACTGGTCGAACGTCATTGATTTGTCACAGTGTTAAGATTCGACAAGTCGTATTCCGATTGGTGGATAGCTCACGTGATAAAAAGCCGGGCATACGATCATAAGAAATTGGCATACGGCCTTTTTCTTATTAAATTCATAACAATATCGAAACATGTCAAATTTACTAATTTCTAAAAAAAACGTCAAGGTGCTTGTGACGAAATGAAGAGATTATTTCTACTTGACCGGATTATATTATCAAGAGGGACAATGGAAAAATCTTAACTAGAACGTGCTGAATAAAGAAGCTAACAATGTTGAAAGATATTATTTTTTGTAATTTATTATCAACTTAATTTAGGCACTTCATCATATATTAAATAAATTTAATCTGCCACTTTGTTTTCAAACTGATTGGATGATTTTAGGGACTTCATATCATTAGAACTGTGCAGTTTTGTAGCATAATAACCAGCAAATATTTAACCTTTATTGAATAGTTTTCAAAAGCAAAGACATCGTTTGTACCCAACTCATCCTAGACTTTTACATTTTGTAGTAGCTTAAACACTTAAATGATCAATATCCGAATACCAACTGATAAAATTTAAATCTAATTATTTGTATGTAAACTTTTTAACATGAAATCCTGAAGGGAAAAGGAAAAAAAGTATGACCAAGGAACACATTGCTGTGGTAAGTGGGAGCAGACATCAAAACAATGGGTAGCATCTGAAAACAACTGGAAAGGATTGTCAAGGACTGATTTAGATAGAGAATCCTGGTGGGAGGCCTATGCTCCTCCATGAGAGGTAACAGGCGTAAGTAAGTAAGCAAGTCTTAGTAATATGTATAGATCACCAGTTCACTTAAAAACTTCTGATTATCAGCTTGGTTTTGTCGAATTGTAGTCAAATAATATAAAACCTTATTGCTGTGGATATCCTTGCAACCATTCTTATACATCAAAGATCGAACGACCGGACAACCGTAATCATTCTAATTCCTCAATGGCGTATAATCTCCAGAAGCCAGAGAAAACTAGTCAAAATTTTATTTCAGAGCAAAGCCCATATTTTACGACCAGTATACATAAAAAACGAAAAAAATTGGTGTGTGAATGTAGTTTCATAAGCAGATATATATGCGCTCGTAAATGCGATATCGAATCTCCCGGCATTTATAAAATTTAAGCGCATGATATATAAATGAATAGACTGCTACATGCATCTCAGTCTTACTTAGTCACTAAGACAAGCATTATATATATAATAAAGGCAAATTATTATGGACTAAAATAACATTGTCAGCTTGGCAAATAGGTTAAATTAAAGACTTAACTCGTTTGAATAACTACAATCCTGTGTACGTGAATAAAAACAAAAAAATAATAATTTGGAGACTTACGTCTTCAGCACTGAAAAGTGATGTGCCTTCAATATTTTTCGGATGTGCTTCAATTGTTTCAAAGGCAGTTTTAAGTCGTACCATGCACAACATAAAATCTTCAAAACTTATTTTATCTGTGCCAGGATCTTGATATCGATTTATAATAGCATTGATTAATCGATTACTCACATGATAACCTAAGAAAGTATTTAAATTCAAGAAATCGTCTCACAATTAGGTATTTCCTTAAATAATCAAATACAATTCGATTGTATGAAGAAAAAAAGCAAAACGGTTTGAAGTTAAAGATTAAAATGAAACTAAATAGATAAACAGTGGTATTTAAGATTGAAATAAATTTTTACCGACTAGGAAATGCAGTTTAATAATAATAATTATTCTTATATAGTCACTTGATATTGTACACTTGTATCTTTTCATTGTTATTTAGGACTGTAATTAATCAGTCTCTTGTTCACATATGTGCATCCTGTGCGAACTGCCTCGATATTGCCTGACGTCATAAGCTTTATAAGTAAAGATGGGTGCACATATGCCAACAAGAGACTGATTAATTGCAGTCCTAAATAACAATGGGAAGATACAAGTATACAACACCAAGTGAATACAACTTCACCCCATTGCACAAGCAAATGGCTATCATGACTCAGTAGCTGAGTGGATAACGTGAAAGGTACTGGGTTCGAGTCCCAGAGTGAATATCAACTTTGAGATGCAGGTACATCCAGCTGACAAGTCACAGATAGGACGAAACACGTGTCAAACTGGATTCCACTGCTAGCCACTATCCATCTTTAATCTTATATAGGTTTTCATAAAATTTAAACTATGATAATTGTCATAGCTTCGTAGCATAGATTATATTGTTATTGAAAAATTCTTTATTGATTTCCGTAATGTAAATTGCAATGTTATAATGTTCCATTAAATGTGTTTGAATTCATTTGGGTCTAGTTAGATTTAATGTAACATGTGATAGATATAATATACTTCGTATTTATTTTCATAAATGCGCGAGACTGGCGAGGCGGGATCGTGGATTTGCACTGCTGAGAAGTTCCACAATGAGACGACAAGGCCGCCCAATGCTTCCCCGTTTTCCATGATGGTCTAGCTTTAATTGACTCATGATTTCAACTATATAAAATTACTAAAATCTCCACAAAACCCCCTTCTGATAAATAAATGTATGAAAAATTTAGTTTGTAGATTTCTCTGATCATGAATTACAGTTATTTTAAAGTACAGTTGTAAACAAAGAACTTCGAAGTAGTTGTCGATTGAAGTTAAACTTAATCTCTTTAAATATTATTGGTTGTATGGAACAATATTGTTGTATTAACAAACTGCTTTGATTGTTTATATTATTTAAATTAATTTAGGAATGTGCTGTAGTATTAACAGATAGAATAATCTCTCACTTTTCAATTAGTTGATTACAAATATTTCGAATGGATTAACGAGAAGACTGAGTTGATTTGACCAACTCTGTCTTTTCATTACACTATCGAAATTTACAAAAGGGACTAATTACTTTAGATTACATTGTAGTATCAGTTTATATTGTTAAGCCCATATACTTGATTCTAGTTGCTGGCCAAGCCAATTCGCCTATCCATTATGAGTCATATTTTGATCTTGTTAATTATTCGCTTATTAACCTCGACTACCTTGTTATATGAGCGCATGTGTATGTACCCTTCGTATCTTATTCATCATATGTCTGTCACTCATATTGTCTGACTATAAATGTTGATTAACGCTTGCTTAAATTGAGTTGGCTTTCCAGCCACCTCCAATACGCATCATCTTTCGCCTCGCTCTCTCGCTTGCCGCTCACTCGCTTGCCGCTCACTCGCTCGTTTATATTCGCTCAGGTGTTGTTAACTTTCTAACCTGAGTTATTCGACAATAAACTGTAGTTGCTGCTATCCTTTGTTTTCTGATTTTACGCACCGTTAAGATTAGAATTATAACGGTTATCGAAGTAAACGATTAACGAATCGCTGCACTACAACATATATTACAAATGTTAAATTTATTCATTGGTGAAATGTTATGAAGATAAAATGTGTTTATTGTTGTCAATGAAACATCTTAAAATGTTTTAGTGAAAAATATTTTTATGGCAACTTTGGATTGTGGTTAACAGTGGAATCAAGGGGGTTGTTTTTGTCTTATTTAGTTTCTATCATCTTAGGTAACACATACCCCTGTCATTGTTATCAACAATGAGAGTATACAAAAGAAAGAAAGAAACGATAACATAAACATACCTGCATCATTCAATGCTTCACGAAATTCATATGCACTGAAATAACCACTTTGATCAACATCATGTTTTATAAAAATATGCTGGAAGAGTTAAAAACAAGGAGAAATGGAAACAATAGTCACTTTTGGAAATTATTCCGGTTATAAACATTTTAGAGATATATGAAATCACTGATGATTGATCTACAGCCAAATAAAGAATGAAGGTACAATGAGTTCTTTTACGTTACCAATGTAAAATACCACACTTCTAGTAAAGTGTCTTGATGAACTAATTCTCTGATATCTTATAAAGATAATCACTAAGAATAAGTGTATGGGGTAGTCTATCAAAAGATTGGGTTGATGCTGCTTTCATCCCATGTTGTAAAAACACAATGAAAGAGGTAGAATGGAACTTAAGTAGTCGTTGTATAAAGTTGCACTTTCGAATGAATAATTTTTCTTGTTCATCATTAGCGAAAGTGAAGGTCAGGTCACCAATATATGAAAGGCAAAACTGAGTTTACGAAATAAAATGTCCGGACTGTAATACTGATTTTGTGAGAGAGATAACGAGATAACCGAATATAAGGTTGAAGGAACAGAAATTTTTAAAAACAAGCTTAAAAATTTTCTACAGATCTTAGAGAGCTGGAGAGTAATCAATTTTTAACACTGAAATTAATAGAAGTTGATTAAAAACTTGACTTTCAAGGAACCGAAATTCTTCAGAAATATCTTGTCCTTTATAGAGGAAAAGTTATGGTAAAAGCCCTGTATAAATGGGTCAGTTGAAGTAATATGAATGGATTAAGTTGAATAAATGAATTAAAAAGTGAAGTAATCAACATTAGCTACCATAAACAATTTTGTTTCGGATAACACCATGAATTTCATCAACGCTTTACATACAAAACATACCACAATCTGAACACATTTCACAATAAAGTGTTGGCAGATAACAACTTAGTCTTTAAAATTCGATCAGCACTAAGAAGGACTTAACGTAAAAAATATCGGTCACTACTCAGTGTTCAGTCAATTGTAGAAATTTCACAGTAAATGACTAATATTGTTTTCCTCTAGTCACAAATAACTCCATCTAAATGTTTGAACGAATGTACGAAGATGTTACGTTTTAATAATTAAGCTTTATTCGCATAACTAGGATTTTACGTATAAAAGCATAGAGGTCACACCATAAAGACTATATTTAGCTTCGTTACACATGAAAATGAAATTGGTTAATGCTCATGTCATTGAAGACAATACGAATTCTAGGTTATGAAAAAAATCCAAATCTAAGTATGCTAAATGTTGTAAACTGAGCTAGAGTTATTTACTGAAGTTCACTGTTGATAATAACAGTAATAATTTGAGCTTAAAAATGTTTTAAGGAAAGTATTTAAGATTGCTCTCATTGTTTACTAAGTTCTTTTTAAGGGTTGAATAAGTATAAGAAGTTTAATTTATTATTCTATAAATCATTTACAAATCACTTACTTTCCATCCTTTAGCTTGTATCCAAAGATCCATAAATTCGTTTAATTCAACATGACCTGTTAAGTTATTCTAAATAAATGACCATAAGTTAAGGTATTTTTTAGCGGAAAGAATGTTTAGAAATTATAGGAACACTTGTGGAAAACATTTTTAAGGATTTCGAACTTAAACACAATATAAGCTTCAATTTGAATACACCGACGTTAAGTTAATTTTTATTTTCGGGTTGAAATATTGAGGTTCATATTTACTAAAATGGTTAAGGTGGATCCGATTATTCTGACACAGTTTAAATCAAATAGCTCCATTTGATAAACTTTTGTATCATTCTTAATGTGATTTTCATGCAGTCAACAGTTTACAGAGTTAACTTTAATAAGATTTGTTAGTAATTTAAGCGTCATGATGTTATTTAACTGACTGAGGTTTATGAAGGTTGTAATGTATTCACTTATAATATCACGGGATAATCATTAAATGCTACGTTGGATATCACAATCTAAAGGTGTTAGCTTTGATAGATAAGTTATAAGTAGTATTTTTGACACACTTGAGTTTCTGATTTTACTTTAACATAAAGCAGCGTATATGAAAATATTAGACCTATCAAGGCAGTCTACGTAAAAAGTAAAAATTGGTAGTTTGATGACAGGTGCGCTAGTTGTGATAGGAATAATAATGGTTTGAATCAATGTTTCATAACAGGAAGTAGGGCAAAGACTTTGAAAAACAGACATTGAAATAACATCAATTAAAGATCGTTAAATCATATGATATAAAGTGGTTAAACAATTAGACAGAGAAGGATGTGTTGAAAAAACTGAGTGGAGAAAGACTAACGTATATACAGAAAATAATTGTGAACAAAATTATTAGTTAAACTTCTTCTAATCAACGAAGAAATAAGCGTGTCTTAAATTCTATCCAAATACAAAGGTTAGAGTTTTTGTTTCAAATCTCTAGAGCTTCCACTATACTCAGAAGACGAAATCGAATACCATTAGGAAAGATTCAAAGTATAAAATAAATTACTCTGAATGCTTTAGCCTTTTCTACAAAACAACCTCTATCGACCTGCTGTATTAGAGTTGAGCTGATTATTGATTTTTTTTACACCAGTTGTCAACCATGAAGGTAAGTGCTTTCAAACTCATAGGCCAGGTTGTCTTGTTTTACACCAGATAAAGCTTTTCACACAGGGGCAGAAGAGTTTAGAAACATGCTTGTATGTAATAAAACTAGATCATTTACCTTTTAGTTGAAGAAGCGTTGAAAGTTGACAAGAAAATATTAGACAGAGACTGGATGCATATAAGGTCCTCTTGATTGTTCTAGTCAGTTTATCTAGTAGTACATCACTAACGATATCTTAGTTAGACTGTAGCCTCGAGTAAGGATTGTATGAATATTTCCATTTATGAACATGAGTAATACTGTATATTAAAGTAAAACCTAATGAAGTTTTGAATTCACTTAGTATTGTTTGTTTGAATCTTCCCATTGTTGTTTAGGACTGAAACTGGTCAGTCTCTTATTGGCATATGTGCAGTCCCAGAGTGAACATTAACTCTGAGATGCAGGTACATCCAGCTGACGATATCCGAGTAGGATGAAACGCGCGTCCTGGATTCCACTGCTAGCCACTATTCATCTTTGTTTCTAATGAGGTTTTCATTTAAGACAATATTTTTCGTCTGTATGGATTGTTCTAATCTACACTAAAGTAGATTTTTAAAATTTAAAAATTGTTAAATAAATGCCATGTTTTTAATAGTAATGATCTTGCATAGTAAGGAGATGCAGTCCCATGGTAGTCGATGGACAACGATTGATTCATAAGGCATTTGTTCCCTCAGGATACTAGAGCCCATGTGCACCATTGGTTTGGAATCAGGGTTTTCCAACTCCCTAGGTGGACTTTCCGTGTCCAGCAACCAGTTTGAAGCGCCGAACATTCACTTTTCGTCCTCTCAATTTTGTAAACAACACCCTCGTCACGAGAAGGTAATAAGTAGGACTTCTCTGATAGAGGCTATATACTCGTGGCCATGTAAGAGCATTTCGAGTGGGAGAGCGTACTCTTCCCAATCTCGACCGCATCAGGGCATTTGGGGGCAGTAGGCATAGTGCTCATCCTTAACAATATGTTACACAACATTATAATTTGACTGAGTAATAGTAAAATCTATTCTGACACTTTAAACATTTGTAAACTTAATATTATTTCAAGTGTTTTCTTTCTACAAGCTGTAAACCACTATAAAACACATTCCTAATACTCTTTATCTTACGGTCAACTGTCAATAAACAACCACATTATAAAAGGATTTTTATAGAGGTAAATATTTTCTCTAAAATTATCAAACCTATGCCAAATTTCAATCGATAAAAAATTTAGTCTAATTGGTGAATTAAAATGGAATCATAGTAAAACATAAAGAAGGATACATCTACAGATGCAACCATACTACGACATAATTCTTTATTAAATCCTTGGAAGTTAGGGATATCTATAAAGAAAAGAATAATCAAGAAATAAAGACAAAAAAAATATTTTAAGAAAATTATTTAGTTATTTATTAGGTGTTAAAATTGTAAATAGTTTGTTTGAAAAGAGATTTTTTGGTTGTGTTGGGGATGTTAGATCCCCAGAACTCACTTGGCAAATGACTTATTATTGTAATTCTATTTAAAAAAATTGAATTACCTGTCTTCTCGCCAAAAGCGCTCATTTTAACCTTCATGTCGTATTTCCAACTTGTGAGGATCTTAAATGCTATTGGTTCTTGGTATCTTTTAGTATGCTATTTTTTAACGCTTCCCAAAGACATTTTTATGCTGTATGTAAACGCTTGAATTGTGTTTGTTGTTGTACGTGTTCTAACTGATTGTGGAATGTATTTTCCCATTTGAATCTGAACTTCTCTCTCTAGTTAGCGGGGCTGGGACGCATCGGAATATTTAGCTGATTCAGTCATCGCGTCACTGAATTTTCGTTCCGTTCTCAGACTAGGTGAACTCGTAATCGCTTCAAACATAGGTTGAAATCAAACTTCTATATCCTACAGTTGATGAATCAGTCTATTTAGAATGTTCATTATAAAGTTTTCACCTTTTTGAACGAATTTATGATATTAATTCAGAAATTCAGCATAGAAGATAGTTATATAAATCTATTTATTCTACTTTAAATATGATTTTATACTAATACTTTCCTATTTTAACTCATTAAACATCAATGGCATACTCTGTTGATAAAGTTTGAATTCTATACCATATTATTCTTAACTGTATGAAAGATATTACCGATTAAGAAGAATAAGAATTCAAAAGTAGACCACACTAAAATGTCTAAAGTTTGTCATAAAATACATTTATGACGTATAACTAAATAGCTAACATCTGCTTGTTAGTTTCTAAACTACTTTATGCAAACTGTACAGAAATCACTTAGTCAATCTATCATCAGAGATAAAAATTAGAATTCCTAAGCTAAATTATTCAAATTATGAACTTTGGACTTTTACCAGTGTTCTTTCAAGGTAATGAGAACACATTACTGACGGGTTTCACCAAACTTACAATCCATATCCAGGTTTTGACCATACAACATCAATAAAAAAGTTTAATAATATTTTTAACGAAAAACAGTAATAGTACTGTAGGTAACAATATAGTGGATTGTGGATGATTTAATGAAGCTTTAAAATCATCATCAAAATTGATCGTACTACCCTCATTTCAGATTATTCATTTGAAACTGTAGCTCAATTTGTTATATATCAATAGCTTAATCCAAAATCGAACGATAATATCTCATGTATCGAATCATTTATGAAGTCAGTACGAATGATAGATAACAGTTTTTTATGAAATTATTATTTCATATAAATAATTATGACTCAGCTACTGAGTCCTGATAGCCCATTGCTTGAGCAATGGTGTGAAGTTTGAATTAAATTAGTATTGTTTGTTTGAATGAGTGAACATCAACTCTGAGATGCAGGTACATCCAGCTGACGAGTCCCAAATAGGACGAAACGCGCGTCCTGGATTCCACTGCTAGCCACTATCCATCTCTGCTTACCATAGTAGCTTAATGTTTAGAAATTCTCTTAAGAACTAACTATTCTAAATAAGATCTAATGAGTGGGTGAAACATCAATATGTGTTACTGAATAGAAAATACTTTTATACATTACCTTGTAATGTACTATTATTTAAAAGTTCACCCAATTTAACAGCGTTTATAGCATTAGTTTTTGGATCACGGATAGCTAAAAATTTCTGTTCAATTTCTTGATCTTCATCCTATAGTTTAATTTATTCATTTATAAACAAAGAAAAAATATGGAAGAAATAACAAAATACAATATATGACAATATTATAAATCATGCAATAGGTAAAAAAACCCTTTCTATGTATAATAGATAACTATTATTTAATTCATAAAACGATTGAAAGAACATTGTTCAAATGTCAATAATGATTGTGATTGAAACTAAAGTACTTAAAATGTGACCTTATCCAAACATTTTGATTGATATATATATTATAAACGTTAAATTATTGTTTATCTCAGATATCTCATTCATTGAAGACATTTAAATGAGGTTTAAAAGTTACAAATTAAAATATGACTTTGTTATGACTTTATAAAGAAGGCCGTATCTAAATCACGTGAATTATCTGTTAATGAAAATTCGACTTCTCCGATCTTAACACTATGACAAATCAATGACGTTTGACCAGTATGAGTAGTCTAGCGTCCTTATTGATCTCTTGTACGCCTAACACTTCCAATTAAGTCCAGAACATCGATAACAGCTACCACTATGCGAATCATTTATTTCAAGAATACTTGGTTTATATACCAGACAAACAGAACGCATCACACTATAAAATAGGAAAGAACATTTGTACAAGTTTAAGCCAAAATGTAGCTGTGAACGCTGGGAACGGTAATTAATAAACTGAATATAATTTAGGAACAGTAATTCGTATTATAATAACTTATAGGTCAAAATAAAGCTTGTAATAAGATGAATATAAATATACACTCTCTAAGTACTGAATAGTTATACAATAAGGATATATATAGAATAAACGTCCATTAATAGGTCCCAGAAGTTACCCGTACTCATGTCTTCGCTAGGATATAACACAATTGATATACACAGTTATGTGAGTGACTTCAGAGTTATTTTCTATGGTTCTTAGGACAAGTTTAATTGTATTTTGTAAGTTTTTAGGGAGTTGGATAAATGTTTTTTTTTAGGTTGGGCTAATAAATGATGTTTTGTTTTGTTTTATATAGCCACTTATTATATCATCTGCTGAAACCAGATAAATTAAGTTTAAAACAGCTTCTCTGTATACTTGTGTACATCCAGCAAATATAGAGTATTTTGAAATAAATTAGTAGCGATTTCCAAGATCAATGAATTAATGATGTTTTGTGATCATTTTTAATGTTTACAAAAAATATTTTTCTCATCATAACCTGTTTCACCATAAGGTTTTGGAGATTGTTGAGTTTTATTGAAATCAAGAACCAATCATTGGTGGTCTGACATTGATCAGTTCATGAATTTAGTGAAAATGAACACACCATACTGATGATTATCATGTAATCACTGGTGACTAGCTTTGAAAAAGGTTCTAGAATTTTTAGCGATAAGCTGTGACCAATGAAGTTCATTCATGTGAGGCAGTTACCTACTAAAGACCATGAAAGATGATCGCTCAATATCGTAGATTGATTGAAGTCAAATATTAATACTGACGTATTCTATAAGCTGTGTTCTCGCGCAGGATAGAAGTTCCTAGGTTCTGTTGCCACGCTCAGTGTAGTGGATATGCACTGCTGTGATGGGCATCCAGTTCTCCCAGATTTTCAGTGGTGGTCTAACATTCGAAGGTTCATGATTTTAATATTTAAATAATTTACTTATTAAGGGTATGAAATAATAATTAGAGTTGGATCGCCAGTCAGTTTTACTGATCTTTCGAGTAGTAATTATTATGAGAGCACATTTTATTGCGTCATACCATTACCATAAATATAAACAAATAGCCTTTGTAATACCCATAGTACCGTGCTATCAACATAAAATTGAAATTCTCAGTTAAATTTGCTACTATTTGTACTGTTACAATGTACTCCGCTGAGCTGTTCCAAAGTATGATTACCAGTTATTTACTAGTTCTTAAGACTCAAGTGTTTTACAAATGATTTTTATTATTGACAACATCTGTTTGAAATGAGGATCATCTACATTTTAATGTATGAAATGATTACACTTTTGTCTATGTTGATTGAAAATTAAGAACATTTTATCGTTAAAACAACAGAAGCTGTTTACACAATACAGAACTAAAAACAAATAGTTACGCTCAAACGGCTTGAATACGTATTTCTTGAGCATTAAAGAACAGGCGAAGTTTAAATACCTTTACGATTTCTTATTTCACGTAATGGTAAAAGTAACATCGATAGAGTAATCTGAACATGATCAAAAACTTAAACATCTGTGAACATACAGAGTTATACAACATAGGGCAATTTAAAAACAGAAGATCAGTGAACAGTTGCTAAATCCTAATGTGGAATTCTTCAATAATTTTCAATGTTTCATGATTTTCTATAAATGTGGTCTGAATAAAACGTCGTCAAAATCTATCCAATGAAGAGAATAATATTGACTTACTAACAAAGTATCTTCTAATTTCAAAGCTTCAATCACATCCTAAACAAAAAGACAATAAATGGACAGGTATTTTGTGCGTTAGACAACATTAATATAGATACCCATTTCAAATTGATTAACAGTAATTGAAATCAATGTACATCAGCTAACTTGTAGAGATTTCGTAGTTCAATCTCTTGTGTATTTTTCATTTTACTTCTAGAATTACGCTACATTAGTTGTAACTAACATAGATTGGAATGTATAAAAAAAGTTCTTCTACATTAGAAATGAATATAAATCGTATTCTGTTTGGATGACATTAGTTAAATTGAAATCTTCTATGGCTTGAATAGATATATTTTGTAGGTGTAGGAATAAACGTGTTAAAAGTACTCAACTAAGAGATTTTGATTCTTAAGAATTAAATAATTTAAGCAATTCGTCTCCTTGATAAATTTCGATAGTGTAATAGAATCAAATGAACCGATAAGAGTAGAGGATAATCATCCATCATCCTGTATTGCCAAACACATAAACTAAACAGGCCATAAGATTGATCTTAACTCGGCTTTTGTGGTGTTGTACAAAAGTGTAAAAGGGCGTATACTAAGGTTGATTGAAGCCCTAGCCATACGAAAATTCGAACCTCCTTTTGTGTATTTAAAAACAGTTTGTTCTCACCTTAAACCTACCCTGGTAATATTAGCTTATTATGCAGAGTGATAAGGTTTCAAATTGTCTTCACATTATTATTATTATTGTTATTATTATTATTATTAGTAGTAGTAACAGTAGTTATAGTAGTATCCTTGTCTACCCTTACCCCCCATTTCCAGTCTAGTAGACCCTTTTATTGTTATATATAAATGTTCTTAACAGGTATATTTATGATCAGGTTGTTCAAAATGTATTGCGCTAATATATCACATAGTTCTGATAATCTTCGTCTTCTTATTACACTATCGAAATAAAATAATTGCTAAGTTCAGTCGGCTTTAATTCTTCATTCGAACCATTTTACATAACGGCTAATGAATTAATATGAGCAAACAGCATTTCTATCAAATTCAAAGTGCTATGTTTAAAATTAATGATGAAATATGTACAAAATTTATATCTTCTGAGCGCATGAATATTCAGAAGTCAATCAAGATTTCCATTAGTATTGTGTAATTGAATGTAGATAATTTGAATATTGAATAGTAGTTTTCTAGTTCATGGAGGAAAGTATCAATAAAGTATACGTAACTAAATTCATGAAGTCCTTTTAATTTGGACAATCACTTCAAAGGAATTATGATACATGTAATTTAGTCAAGCGTTTGATCAAATTCAGAGCAAAGTTTAATAGTTTTAAAATGAGCCTGATCTTGCTCCATTGATTTGTTGAATGTACTGCCATTTTTCCTAATGGCACTTGACCAGATATGAAGTAATTTTATCACTTAGGTTCACCAAAGTCATCAGTTAGTAGAATTGCTCGTTTTAAATTTATTATTTTTGGACTACTACAAAATAAGCTAATAGACCTTAACCAGTTCTGTTAATCGTTGTTATATAATGTATGCAAAACAAAATCTTGTAAATATTGTTTATGTTACAACATTTCATTAACTTACATCTGGTAGACCTTGGTTAGTATTGTCTTCATCAAGTTCTCTAGAAAATAAAGTAATGATTAGTGAATAGATAGAGAGCAAACAAAAAACTAAGCCTATTTAACAGCTAACGGGATTTCATAACTAAGTAGAATTATTTTGTAGACAATATGACTAATTAAATGTTTACTCATTACCTACATTAGGCGTGAAATTTCTGGAAGTCGTTGTAAGAAGCTAGGATTTGTAATATTATTAAACTCGAGGACGAGTTGAGTATCCACTGATGATTTTGATATGAATAACAATAAATCAACATCTGACTAAAACCAAGAACTATAAATCGATAGATTCTGATCCATTGATCTAAAAGTATCTTAGTTACCACAGAGTCAAAGCTGCTTATCTCACCCTTCTAGAGTTAGAGAATGTGCACTGTTGAAAAATTCTAGACAATCATAGAACAATTATCTACTGCTTCATGATTTTTCACAGAATATTCATTTGACAATAGACAATGGTAAAAATTAGTTATATATAATATTTGAACCGTAAATTAAATAAGATTCATAATAAAGATCATAAATACTAGTAATACTAGTAATTTTGTGATTGAAATCCTGAGTCAATTGAAGCTTGACCATCATAGAAACCTGGAAGCACTGGAATGCCATTTCGTTCTATTGTGGCGTTGACTCCTCAAAAGTGAGCATCCACGATCCCGCCTTGCGAGATTCGAACCCAGGACCTATCAGTCTCGCGCCAGAGCGCTCAACCACTAGACCACTGAGCCGGCCGGCATTTGACGGTGTTAATGTCTAACTTCAACAAATCCACGAAGTTGAACGACACATCCACCATTGTCTTCAGTGAGTTATTATCTCACAACAGACTTGGTTGAACTCCACTGGTCACTGCTTCTCACTAGAACTCCAGGAAATGTCTCTTGAAGTTAGTCACTAGTAAGCATATGATTATTATCAGAAGGGGTTTTTGTGGAGATTTCAGTATTTTTCATAGTTGAAATCATGACTCTGTTGAAGCCAGACCCATTATAGGACGAAACAGCCATCCAGTGCTGCCAGGTTTTCCATGGTGGTCTAGCTTCAACTGACTCATGATTTCAACTATGAAAAATACTGAAATCTCCACAAAAAACCCCTTCTGATTATCAACATATTTCTTTGTAATCTATTTAATCTAATTTCTATTTTGTAAATAAGTTTTAGAAAAAGAAAAAGAAAGTTATTACTTAATACTTACTGTTCTATAATAGATGTTTGTGAAAATACACGTAATATAAAATTTACTTCAATATTTGGATCGAATGTACTCGGAATAACAACATATGATCCTGGTGGTACACGAAATTGTGCAGTAACTTCACGTGTATTAATAAATTGTGATTTAGCTATTGGAGATCTAGTTAAAAGTTGTGCACGTGATAATAAAGTGTTTAAATCATCAGGTGCCTTTAGAAGAAAAAAGAAAAAAAAAGTATTACATAACAATTAATTATATAATCAGTTGAATTCAATTATTTGTTTAATCTATTCTATATTGGATCATATATAGAATGTGTAATGAAGATTAATACATTACTTTAAAAATAATGGTAGTATATAAATATACTACTATTCATTACTACTTGTTTTAATTCATAAGATGTTTTGTATACATTGTAGTATATTATGTAAATAAGTCACGTGTTAACCTTCTATTTATTATCATTCAAACATCAGTTTTTTTGCATACAGTGAAATGAATGAGAATAATTAATTTTTAATCCTTTTATAGTGAATATAGTTGCGGTTTTCTTTAATGTAAGGAATACTATGGTCTGTGGATTAGAAGTTACTGAGCAACTTGAATTTGTATCTAAGTAAAGTTCTTGTCATAGGGATATATTACTAATCTATGTTTTGAGTTACAAAATGGATGCAGGTATTTACATAGTGTCGAGGAAAGTAACCTTTAGTTCAAATATTATTAGGAGTTATACAATCGGGTTTTTTTTAAGGAATCACTAGGACAATTTAAGTGGGTAATGTTTGTGATAAAACTGATTTATTTGTTCTTCTGTTTGCATGATAAACTCATTTCATATATAAACAGATTAGTTTATACATGCATATTCTTGACATTAACAATGTTTTTTGATAATATAACCACTAAATATGCGGTAAATATGGTGTATAGTTGACTCGTCGTTAAATATTTCTAAAATGGTTAATGTTTGATTCCGAATATCACCTTTAATAGTTAACTGGAATAAAAGTGTCCTATATCAGTAATATAGTGGATAGTGTATATGTTTTATATATTTCTTGTCATGGCTATTCTATTTCATTTGTTTTTGTAAACTTTCGAAAATAATTCATCATAGTGTTATAGTAGCTGGTACTATGTCAAGCTCTCAAAAGTTATTCCAGCTTTCCAGTCAGACTACTTTGTGTATTCTACTCAAGCCACATTTTAAATTTAGTGATTATTCATTAATTATCAGAAGGGGTTTTGTGGAGATTTAGTATGTTTCATAGTTGAAGCATGAGTCAATTGAAGCCAGACCACCATCGAAAACCTGGAAGCATTGGAGTGCAAACCACGTCTGTCGTGAGATATGAACTCACTGATGACAATTGGTGAATGGTTGCTCAACTTCGTGGATCAGTTGAAGTTAGACATTAACACCGTTGGATGCCAGCTCAGTGGTCTATCGGTTAAGGGCTCTGGCTCGAGACTGTTAGGTCCTGGTTTCGAATCTCGCGAGCGCGAGTTCGTGGATGCGTACTGCCGAGGAGTCCCATAGTAGGACAAAACGGCCGTCCAGTGCTTCCAGGTTTTCCATGGTGGTCTGGCTTCAATTGACTCATGCTTTCAACTATGATTATTCATTAATTAACCCTGATTTTCTACATTATCGTATGTGTGTTAACTGCATGCCGTATTCATTACGTGTCTGTAACCTATAAACATTGACTAACGCTTGGTAAAATCGAGTTATCTTACTCTCCATCTCCGCCACGTGTCTCTTCATTTCTCTGATTGTCGGTCTGGATCAATGAATGTAAGAAATATACGTATTCAAACTTCACCCTCATATTTATTTTATTCCGTTATATTCTAATGCAAATTAAGTTGATAATTACATACGAGGATTGGTGACATGTGTATTTCAATAACAATCAGCATATGATTTAAATGGAGTCAGATATCAGGTCGCTAATGTATATTTAGAATTCAGTCAATGGTTAAGAGAAAATCAAATTGATAGCATGTCGGTAACCAAGTTATTTAATAATAAAGGTGAGACATAACTGACTTAATTCATTTAGTCTTGATTCAGTTGTTGAGTTGTATTTGTATATCATACTGAGAAAATCTTATCGAAACAACATTTATACGTCCTAAAGAATTTCCTAATTTGTTTATATGGATACGGTTGCAAAAGTTTAGCTTCATTTTCTTCATGCGCCATTCAAGTTTGCAGAGAATGAACCATAAAATATAAATTCTATTAGACTCGAGATAATCTTTTTTACTTAAATAATTTTATGTCTTTAAATTTATATCAATTCGGTAGTATCCACCAATTAAATGTTTAATATAATGTTTATTAACATCTAACATAATAAGTGATCTGTATGATAATCAGTTTGGAAAACAAATTACTCCAGATTAGAGAGGAATTATGATCAGAATGGGGATTTGTGGAGATTTTTAATAGTTGAATTCATGAGTTGATCTAAGCTAGAGCACCACTGAAAATCTGAAAGCACTGAATGGACGTTTCGTCCTATCACGGGATCCTTTTGCGGTGCGCCTTCACGATCTCGTATGCGAGACTCAAACCTAGGGCTTTTGGGTCTCACGCATGAACGCTTAACCTTTAGACTACTGAGTCAGCACGCAGTGGTGTTAATGTCTAACCTCGATCACTCCATGATCATGCGCGACCATTCATCCATTGTTTGAGGTAGATACCTGTATCTACCTGACACGGATTGGACTATACTGTTCACTGCTTCTCGCTAGAACTCCAGGAAACCATCTTGAAGTCATTCACTAGTGAGCAGATGATTATTATGATCAGAATGGGGATTTTTGGAGATTGTAGTGGTTCCAGGTTTTCAATGGTGGTCTAGCTTAGATCGACTCATGAATTCAAATAGAAAGGAATTAACTGTTGTGACTTTTGACCTGTCAATCATCACGTGACAAGGTAGTCAATCAGAACACGTTCTGTACAATCTTAACACTGCCACAACACTGATGTATTGACTGGTATGAGCAGCCCAGTGCCTTGTTCGTCGTTTTTCTGTCTAGCCCTTCCTGTTGAGTCTAGAACGCCAATATCAACCTCTACTATCAGAATCATATGTTTCAAACATACTTGATTTATATACAAACAAACCAGACCACATCATACCATAAAATAAAAAAGGTAACAATTATACAAGATCAAGCCAAAAAGTGGTTGTGATTATGAGAGACTGAAATTAATAAATTAGGTATAACTTAAGAAGAATAGTCTATAGGTCATAATAATATAATATAAATATGCATAATTTAGTTACTCAATAAATAAACACTAAGAATATGTGTACGATATTAGTCTATTGGTAGTTCTCAGAAGTTACCCATAATTTAATCTATGCTAGGATATAACATTAACCTTCTACTACTGAAAACTAATACAGAATAGAACACTTTGTTAATAATTTGGTATACGATAACATACTGAAGTGACGATAAACACCTAAAGTTCGTAACTTCATCATTTATTTATGTTAAATTTTAGGACTTAGAGTAAATAGAAGTTTTGATTTAATTTTGAGTAGTTGTATAACTTGACGCTGACAAGGCCAATGTATTCCGTTAGGTGCATCTGGAGAAAACATGTGAATCCTGTATTGCGGGGTCATTACATTATTAACTGTTAGGTTATTGAAATAATTACATATGAGTGTACCCTCTTCTGTATATTACTCTTCGAAGAGTAAAATACAGATGAATTTACTTTAAATCCTACAATTTGAAATGATATCCTGGATGTTACTGGTTGGCAACTTGTTTTTCTTACAAATAAAATCAGTTGAAACCAGTGTTTATCAGAATATTTTGTTGATTCCAAAGAAAATCCTCCAATGTTTTCTAACCATAGGATGTGAAATCATGTACAGAACAGCCTAACGTTTAGTTATATTTATATTAATTGGCTTAAACACAGACCCTGACTGAGACATCTGATGATTTCATTCTCAGTTAAGTAATTATAATAAGAAAACTAATGTTCCACATTAGCTTGTTTCGAGTTTCAAAGAATTGAATTACCCTGTCAGTTTCAATTTATCTTTTGTACAATTTTTAAGGTTAAGAGTATATTTAATTTGAATTCATCAGGTAACTTACATTATAAACCATAAAACCTATAGGTTGAAAATCTGCTCCAACTTTCTTCCTGATATCTGTTTGCATTAAACCAATGAGCACTGAACACTTATTATCATCGTCATCAGGATCTGGATCTTCAACTGTGATACGAAATTGTGGATTCGTCCAATAGGTAGCTTGTAAATAAGGGGAAAAATCAATTCAACATAGTTATATTATTTGTGTTTGAATTTGTCAAAATTGAGGTTTATTATAGCGTTCAAGAATAATCCAATATTACTGCTGTCCATGTTGCTTGTACATAAATGATATCGAAATTAATAATAATGATTGTTATAAATATACGAACTCATCAGGTGAACGGCAACTACTATTGTTTGATGGACACTTTGAAAAGTTAATTGAACTCTTAAAGAATATAAATATTTGTTTTATTTGTAAGGAGTACCAATGGTTGGAAATTTCTTGCCCGGTTTAACCATACTAAGTGCGTGGTTCGATTGCCTTCTTAAGTTTTGATAATTATTTTAAAACTTAGTAACTGTTAAGCAAAGATGGATAGTGGCTAGCAGTGGAATCCAGTTTGATGCACGTTTCTTCCGATTTGGGACTCGTCAGCTAGATGTACATGCATCTCAGAGTTGATGTTCACTCTGGGACTCGAACTCAGTATCTTTCGCTTCAAACGTCATCGCGTTATCCACTCGGCCACTGAGTCCTGATAGCCACTTGCTTGTGCTATGGGGTGAAGTTTAAATTCATTTAGTATTGTTTGTTTGAATCTTCCCATCGATGTGTTAGGACTGCAACTGGTCAGTCTCTAATTGGCATATGTGAATACTGTGACATCCACTATCCATCTTTGCTTACCATGCTTGTGAATTACGGCTAAATCGAGGCAATACCCACAGTATGCACATTTGCCAATTAGAGACTGACCAGCTGCAGTCCTAACACATCGATGGGAAGATTCAAACAAACAATACTAAATGAACTTAGTAACTGGTTCCTGACTTTTTATACACTCTGACAACATTTGGATCAGCAGTGTTTGAAAAATTAAGGGCTACAAAGTTATCTTGAACGACAGCGATTTAAAGTCAGATTTGTCGAAATATTCTCCAATAAAAGTATCTGTTTCTCTCCATAGATTTTATTTGTTGAGGCAATGCTTGTATTAGGATAAGCTGTTTAGATTTTCTCACAGGGATAAAATGGTTTTGTTATCATAACTATATTAGAGAGTGCCAAATAAATAATTCAGAAACAAGTGAAACTTACTGCGATTATTAATACAACCACCAGCATTAACGTTACGTTGCCATTGACCAGAAAATATAGCTTCGTCTAATCTTCTTTTCCCATGGAAATTTTGATTATACTCTAAACTTTCAAGACCTAAATGACATACTTCAACTCGTGAAAAACAAGTCACAAAATCTTCATATGACATCCTGAGTATAAACAAAAACAAATAAGAAAGAAAGAAGTTGAAGTAGATAATATTATTTGAATATTAATTTACTATCGATTACGTTCCAATTATAATCTGTGTATCAATGAATACTATTGCAGTACTTAATATAGTTTATATGATAGAATTTATTTTGTTTTGTGGAAATGCTGTGGAAACAACAATTAGCTGTCTTCATTATCTAATGAATAGAAAAATGTTAAATTACCATGTGATTCACAAGATAAATGTTAATAACCACGACTGTTGATTTTTCCTGATGAACTTCTATGAACCAAAAGGTGATCATAAACGTTGGATCACTGGACATGAATTCCCTCCTATTCTTGGACTCTCCTTTCATGCATTCACGGATCTCCACAAGGTCAAAGGATATGACGTTGGATATCATTGGTTCACATTTGGAATCTCAGTCAGTTTGCTATAGCACGTGGACATCATTTAATTCAGTCGGTGATACATGTCACACTCTCGACAATGTTGGGCCGCACTGCCGACTGCTTCTCACAAGATATTCTGATACCTACTACAAAATAAGTCACCAAAGAGTACATAGTCACTGTCTCCACGAAACCCCATCTTAAAAACCTTCACTGAAAAAGTGATCGAAGTAGGGTGAAATAAGACTGGAAAGGTGTTCTCCATACCAGTCAAAACTAATCATTAACTGATAAGAAGTGTGGAAATACTAAACAATGTTAATAGTTTTCTTGTGAAATGGTCACCATTGGTTCAGTCAGTCTGATTTGACCTAAAGTACAGAACCGTGAAGATTATTTCACTTTAAATCAAGAAATCTACCGACCGTTTCCAGACTGGTTAAATTTACACCGAAAAAACTGGTAATTTTAGTTTTCATTATGTGATTTTAACCCAAATCATGTTGACACTAAATTTGATATTGGTAATAAAAATGAGAAAACTTTTGAACTTTGATTTGAAATTTAGTTAGTAAACCAATTTTTTTCATTATGTTAACTAGATAGTCTTTTATCAAATGATAATATCATGTGTGATCGTACATAATCTTAACTCGAATTAATACTAAAGTGTTATCGAAAAGTTCGAAATTAGGTAGTAGTTGTTTTTTAGAATTCAATCTTACATCTTATTGAATTTAGGACTTTAAAAGTCTCCTGGCTAGTCTGGTGGCCAATAATAATGTTAATGCTTAATTTCTATAACATACAGAGGTTTTACCAACAGTGTAAACTATATTCATATTTGTAGTTTCTCATATAACTTTAAGACAATTATCTAGAAGTAGATCATTAAACAGTATTAAATTATCTTAAAATTGAGTAATCAGTGAAAATGTTGTGAAGCTAAATAACTCGTTGTAAAGAATCATAAAGTATGTTTTTGTTTACAGATACTCTGTAGAATAATGTTTCTATTTTACGTAAGTAAGTATATTGCTTTACCAAAATTCTCCATCTGCAGTGAAGCTCAAGTTCATATTTTTCTTTTCTTGTTCACTTATTTCACGCCATTGAGGTGAACCATCACACCATGCACCTTTCCATTCATGACTGTCACCCCATGGATTACGTAAACGCATTAACCATTGAGTGCGACCTCGGTAGTTGACCTATAGAAAATATACATGGCAATATAGTTAGAGATATTGAACTATGTCTAAAGTAGGAATGGATTAGATAATATTATAAAACAACTGAATATAGAAATTTTTAAAGAAAATAATGGCTAAAAGATGGTTTGTAACAAAATAGTAGATGGTAATCGTCAAATATAAACTATGATATGCATTAATTTACACTGAAGTGTCATATTGTTATTGTTATCTTTATTTGAAAATACCTTCCTATCAAGTGTCATTATGATCCGACCCTTTATGTTATTTTTATTATATTTTATTGGTAGTCTTATTGACAAACAAAATAAATTTCTGCTATCCATTCTGCTGATTAATGGCTTGAATACTATTTAAGTTGTACAAACTATCTTGAGAATGATCGGGTGAATTGATAAAAATAATATAGAAAGAGGGTTTTGTGGAGATTTTAGTAATTTTACATAGTTGAGATCATGAGTCAATTGAAGCTAGACCATCTTGGAAAATCTGGAAGCACTGGGTGGCCATTTCGTCCTATTGTGGAACTCCTCAGCTGTGCACATCCATGATCTCGCTTCGCGAGATTCGAATCCAGGACCTATCAGTCTCGCGTGCGAGCGTTTAACCTCTAGACCACTGAGCCGGCATCCAACGGTGTTAATGTCTAACTTCAATCAAGCCACGAAGTTGAGCAATGTCTTCAGTGAATTGATATCTCACATTAGACTTCGTTGAACTCCACTGGTTACTGCTTCTTACTAGAACTCCAGGAAATATCTCTTGAAGCCAGTCACTAGTGAGCATATGATCGTAGATCTGCAGTGCTGAGGAGTCCCACAATACCTCGAAACGGATATCCTAAGCTCCCAGATTTTCCATGGTGGTCTAGCTTCAATTGACTCATGATCTCAACTATATACAAATAATATACTTATAATATCCCAATGAGTAGAAAAACTAAGCTTCTAAACTTTCTAACGTTTGGTGACTCAGTGTAAGCCACTTCATTTTTTCTTTGTCGGAAGAAGTGGCTTACACTGAGTCGCGAAACGTTGAAAGGCTTAAAAACTTAATTTTTCTACTCATTAGGATATTGCAAACATATATTATTTTTATCAATAACGATCTACTCAATGCTCAGTTTATTTGTCATTATCAATTCAAACCTTGATAATAACACTTATAAACTCGTTAGGTGGATTGTTTTTACTGGAAATTTCACATTCTTACCATCAGACTTCATGTTTATAGTATTCCCATACACATTTCTAAATGTACGAATGAACTGACTATAAATCAAGTTACATAAATTGTTTCTATTATTAAACTATTAAATTTATATAATTTAACATCAAATTCAACTTACGGGATATACACCTGTTAAACTGTATGCGTGACTACCTATAAGTCCATTATCCATTTTTTGTTCCATTACTGATGACTAGAAAAACAAAAGATTGAAAAAAAGTGGGATCGTTCATGACTGATTACATAATAATAATAATAATAATAATAATAATAATAATAATAATAATAATAATAATAATAATAATAGCCTTACTGAACATCATAAATTTCGTTGCAGTAAGGACTTCCCAATTCAAATTATGCAATATTACAACAAATATATCTTTAACATCCCTATAAATTGTATTTATTCTAATCATGCTTCATAAATAAGCAAAGATGGATAGCGGCTAGCAGTGGAATCCAGTTTGACGCACGTTTCGTCCTGTTTGGGACTCGTCAGTTTATAATGCTTGTGAATTAAGGCAATATCGAGGCAATACATATAGTTTGCACATATGCCAATAAGAGACTGATCAATCGCAGTTCTAAACATCAATGGAAAGATTAAAACAAACAATACCAAGTGAATTTAAATATTTCATAAATGTTTCCTAAATTTAGTATCTACCACCCACATTCAGTCATCGGAGTGTTCTGTCAGTTGTCCATTAACCATATGTAAAGTGACTGAATTCCAATATATTTTCTTCTCATCTTTCCAAAGAATAAATGAAAAGGAAAGTGTGCCAAAAAGTGAAGTGCCTCTATTTTAGTGTTCCCAGTATTTTGCATTAAAATAATTTTCAACTTTTTAATCGTATGTAAGTATACACAATTGGTATTCATAATTACTCTGTTTAAACATTTCTAAAACAGGAAATTTGATTGCAGTATTTTCGCTACTGAAGAGCAGGTAACCTTAACGTTCAATCAATGGTATATTCAAATCAAGATCATAATCCTTCCATTATTAAAATCGATGTTTATAACATAAACTATTCATGTTCTCAGAAAAATGAGTTTAATCATAATGTTGTTATGCAAACGTATTATACTGGCATACAAAGAACTATTTTATTGAGCCGACGATTAGTGTACACTAAAAGATATTGTACTTCAAAAGTAAATGCAGAACTCGTTAAGTATCTTTCTGATTCTGAGGGATTGTATACTGCATAATAACCTCAGTTTAACATGAATTTGAAAGAATTATCTGTTGTTTTGATTCTGAAACTTTTTTTCAAGTAAATATATGAAACACTAATCAGATTTTGTGAACCGAGATATGGCTCCACTTGAATCATACGATGATTGTTATTGAAATATACATATCGCCAGTCCTCGTATATTATCGTCGACTTAACTCACGATAGTGTATAACGGAATTAAATAAGTCACAAACAAGAATGAATTTCGAATACGTGTATTTAATGCAATCGTTGATCAGAACAGACAGTCAGAGAGACAGAGTGAATTGAGTGAAAGAGAGCTAAGCGAAATGACGCCCAGTGGAGAAGGCATGTAAGCAAACTTGATTTAATCAAGTGTTAATCGATATTTATAATCAAATAAAAATAAGTTACAGACATATGATGTATAAGATAGGAAATGCACACATACGTTCACATAAAAACAGTCAAGGTTGATAAGCGAATAACTGGCAAGGTCAAAATGTGACTCAAGTAGAACGAATAAATTGACCTCTCTAGTAGCCAGAATAATGTAATATGAACATGTAATATGAAATATTCGTAAAACCACTTTTTTTCAAATTTATAACACCATTTCATATCTAACGCTAACTTACATCAATACTACAACCCATAAGGCAACAACGTTGAGCATAAATTTTAAGCTGATCTATAAGATCACTTGGACGTTCTTTTTGGTTCAGTTCAAGAGATAAACAGATTCCACCAGTTAAATCTTCCATAGCTTCACTTTGTGATCCTCCACTCAGATGAGCATAACAACCATTCAATCTATCCGTTCAAGACATCGAAAAAAAGATAAAAAATTATTTTAATATTCCATATTTCCACGTAAAAGTGATTCTTTTACGTATATTTTATTAATCTAAGTAATGACCAGACATCTTGAAAAGCAAACATATGTTACTTCGTTGAGTGTATACGATACAAAAGTAGAGCGTTGAGGTAGACTGAAATCAAGCATTAAATTTACCAACTGCATGTGTTCAGCATATACAGTCTATAAGATTTTATTGAGAAGTGAAGAATTTGACAAAAAAGAGAAATAATATTGTTTATTTGTTAAAATTCATTTAGTGTCAAATGTCCAGGTAGGCAAATGTAGAGGATTTTCTTGACAATTATTTAAATTCAGTATGGTTATTAGTTTCGTTGGAAAGTATATGTGTAGCTGTGGCTTGGTGGTTAAGTCGTTTGGCTAACATATTGTTTTTCTTTAGTTGTTAGTATACCTGAGTTATCTGAAGATATTTATGATTTGATTGATGTCATAAAACTGTTTTGATGATGTAGAACTTGTCATCACTAACTATAATACCACAGATAAGTATTGTGTTATAGAACGATGACAGTTAGGTTATTAGAAGTGTTTATATTGAGTTTGGGTGGTCGGATTAATATGTATTATAGCGGATATTAAATTGAATTAACCGTTAGGAATTATATGGGTTATCAGTTATACTAAGCTTTAACTGAACAAATACTTCATTATTTACCGGCTTAATTCATCTAGAGTATTTGGCAATCGACGGTCATGAACTCACCTGAATTGTAAATGCTTTGTGTGTGCATTGAACTGGTTAAGATGAATTTTTTGTTATTTATGACTGATATTTTTGGCAAATTTCGTGATTCAGTGCAATACATTGCACTTATCAGAAAACGTGGACATTCAAGTAAATTCAAAGGGAAGGGAGTCATAGTCTTTTAACAAAATAATCCTACTAAATAGAAACAATTCTTCATGTGAACACTTTTTTTCCGATTTCAGTAAACACCGTGTCCGTTCTTGTTACCATTGGGTTTATTAAGACATGAAATAGCATGGACGCTTACTGAAAGAGTAATATGATGTTCGAAGTATGATGGTAATTTGACCTGAACAAAACAGAGGCGAATAACTTAGGCTTCGACCTTAAGGGGAAGATTATCTTTAATACAGTACTGAAGGCAGTTATTAACGTATGCGGTGAATCTTTTGATGTCATTTTAAATGTCATTGTGGATAGAAATTTGAAATCTTGCAAACTATTGTGACGTGTCATTTTATCAGATAGTAACCATCCATTATACTCACATCTTTCTCTTTACATATCAACCGGTGGAACGGCATGTCAATACATTAGAATCCATGAGAGCAAGTAAAAATATAAAATTTCTGCCATGCCGTACATATACGACGAGCAGGTTGTGAGAGTTGACCTGATCAAAAGTTTATGTGCCTGAACATGTCAATTAACGGTTATACAGATTCTTAACTTTTCTGGATCATTTCACTTAATTTTAGATAATTTACCTACTTATTCCACGTATGTATGTGTGTGCAGATATTGATTATTTTTTGTTCGGTACAAAATGAATAAGAGAAATCGGATGAAATAATGTACGCTGGGAATTCCACGCTGAAATAAAATATAATTTTAAACAAATACATTGATAATAACAGAAATAGAATTAAAAAAGAGTATTTTTAAGGAGTTTCAGGGCCTCCACTTGATACTTTCAAAGTGTGCTCCGATATATTTAGGTTAAATAATCCAGTAAGCAGACGAGAACTTAACTGGTTAAATTCTGTTGATCTTAAAGACTAGATGGTCCAATATAAGTTACCATTCCTTGGCTGGAAAGACAATAGTGAGAAATTTATTCAGAGTATAATTAACTGAATTCATTCTATGATAAAAATGTAAATTGCTGTCAAAAAATGCTATCATACTGACTTTGCATAAGCTTTTTCCAACAGAGCTGACCAGAATTCCGTGGGATCATTAGAATGCATAAAAACGAGTGTATTACGTCCTTGACGAACTGGAAGACGATCATCTATAAGCACTTCCACCCAATGGCCAAAACGCCAAAATCGAAAACGTACAACACCAACATATTCTGGTCCTTTCAATTCTTGATCTTTAGGCACCACTTGATCAAATAGCTGTGGGTATCCTGATATGGAAGCCACTACTGCAAGTAACCAGCAGTCACCTAGACAATTTACAAAGTAAAGAAAATTTCTCAATCATTTTATTATTGACTTTAACATTCTTTGAGTGATTAATTTCTTTAAAGAATGTAATAAACAGTTCGCAGCAGGCGTGCTAAAATTCATACAGTCATGTTTAGGATAAAAGGAATGTTTTTTGACTTCTCCAAGTGAGCTCATTTGATTACTTGATGAACGATACCACCTACCCACATTAATAGTCTGACTTCTTTCCTATGATAAACTTTTTTAAATATCTTTTATTTTTAAGTCGAAACACTTAGCGCAAACTTACTTTTATAGTTCTCATACTATATGACAATTGTTGAGATGTATTTTTTAAATTTACATTCTATTCCTCTAACATGTCTGTTTCTTAACTCCCAGTGTCTTATCCGGTTGAGTTCTATGAAATTTTTTAGATAAAACTGAATATCATAGACTCAATAACCATGGACAGATTCATGGATGGGAATTTGAGTTGCAATTTTGAGAAAAAAAAAGTTTTTCTTCAACAACATAAATTATTACGGTTTAATAGAATAACGATACTTACATTTATATTTAGGTAATAGATTCTGAGAGAGATTCGTCTACTAATTCTATTGTATAGAAAAGTTTTATTCTGGGTAATTATGTGCCGATTAGTACTTACTTTATGAATGAAAACACTTCTATTCAAACAGTCTATTGTAGAAACTTTACATAATTTTTATGCTTAAAGTATTGTGGGATTTATACGTAATAATTAAGGTCATCAAGATATACGCTATACCAAAAAAAACACTTCATCTGTTACCTTATTATTAATAAATTAGCTGACCAATATCACTATTTTATTTTGCTTCATGTAATTTAGGTCAGATAGTGTAGTGTTCGGTTTTTTTCTTCCTATTAAGTGTATTAAGTGTATTTGACGAGTAATTAATAATGTGACAAACTGATGAACTTCTGTAGATTGGACTAAATTCATTTTCTAATAGTTTAGACATAGAAACTTTCTTTGATGTTTAATAATTTGGATTGTCCTAATCCGCTTACAACCTAAAACTATAGTATCGGTCATTAGAACGAAACAAATGTACAGAATTTATATCAAAAACGTTTAAACTGGGATGAAATGTGGAGATAAAATAATATTAATTTTAATAGTGAAGATCATGAGTCCAGTGAAGCTAGACCGTTTTGGAAAACCTGGAAGCACTTGTTAACCTTTTCGTCCCATTGTGGGACTGACTCCTCAGCAGTGCGCATTCACGATCTCCCCTCGTGAGATTCAAACCCAGGACCTATCGATCTCGTGCGCGAACGCTTAACTTCTAGATCAATGAGCCGGCCGACATTCAACGGTGTTAGTGTTTAACTTCGACTAATTCACGAAATCGACACATACACCATTAATATTAAGTGATCATAATATAGAAGAATTAAAAGTTTTCAATATTTTAGATCATGAAGATGAAAAATATTTTTCTTCTTGAAATAGATTATAGATTAGTTGAGTGAAACACAGAAATAGGAATTAAGATATTAAAGGTATGCTTAAATTCTACAGAAATACAAAAATAGTCTTACGTATGTAGTCTTAAAGAATAAGGAATTGGACTATTAAAAACGTTATTCTATCTTTACATTTTAACTCAATTTATTACAGTTACTCCTGATAGTGTAATAAGCTCATTGAACAATTTTATCGATTGTCTAGTTACTTTAATTTAGGCATTTGGCCTATTATGTAAAATTATGTATGAGTATGATTGAGCGCACGTTTTTACATCAATCTTTAATCTATTCACCCATTGGTTGTAAATATAAACAATCAATAAATTATCCTTAATCGATTAACACTCATAAATATATCTGAATTTTTAACACCTAATACGTACACATTCTAGTTTGCTTCCTTGTGTGTTTGCTTTCTGCGCGCTAATAAACTACCTTTACCGCTGGTGCTCTGGTTTTTGAATAATCTTGAGCAAATTCATAATACTACTAGGATATTTAACCTACGTAAATATTCAGTTAATGGGATACTATTTATTGGAGTCAGATATAAACAAAATTGGGACGTAAAATTCGACTCACACGTCCTTGTCCTGCCTCCTGGATCATGACACTTATCCCATGTACTGATGTGAGCAGTAACACGGGTGGTGAAGATCGGCCTAATCAACCACTCTACCTATACCGACAAATGATTACAAATTCTACAAAGAGTCATTGCATAACTATTGAGGGTTCAAGAAAGATGGTAAAAATGAGTCCGCCCCCCCCAAAAAGAATGAAAGTGTTATGTAATGATTCTGCGTAAGCAGTGCAAAGACAACTATTGCACCCCAGTAGTCGTGCCGTGCTTCGATGTAGCACTCTTCTCCAGAAGGGTCTACTAGGCTTCAGCATGTTCCTATGGCTGGAAGGGGAGGGTAAAGGAAATAGTCTTCAACAATATAAATTATGTACATTTGTTTCATTTCAATGATTATGTACTTTGAATTCATATTAGTCTGATATGGTACTTGTTTTTCGTTTAAGTTTATAAATGGGAATAGTTTTGTATAATATTTTATCACAGTGATAAACTTCTGTGAATTATCTGGTAATTTTTTATTAGTTAATGTGTGGGGTCTAAACAAATAGATTATTATTAGGATTAAAATGATTAAGTGGTAAAAAACCTATTGTATCGAAGTATACTATAGTAGAAAGAGATTTAAGTTATTATGATAATGACTATAGTAATGCTGTGGTGTTGTCTACTTATATCCACATAAGTAGTATATGGTGTGGGTCAGACATAGAATGTATTTTCACAGAAGACCGATGAGGAAAGAACTGAAATGAAGCGCAATCGTTTGGAAAATGCATGAGCAATGGAATTAGAGAAGAAACAGTGAAGATTGAAACAATTGGTTGTTAATTTGCAAATTGACTGTTCATTGTTTGGTTATCAGAATTTACCGAGATAGTCTGTAATGTTTGCTTAAATACATTCGATTGTCCCCAACTAGTGTTCTGTTCACTATAATGCCACCTGTATGGAAAAGACATTACTAACTAGTGGTGTTTGTAATCGATTGACAGTGTTATGAATACATATTGTAATAATTTTTTCTCTTATGCTCGATTTATTAGATAACAAAATACTTGGAAAAAATAGTCGGATAACCGACGCCTTCTATTTAGCGGCAATCGTCATTATTTACAGATATTAACAAGGAAACTATTTAAAAATGGTGATACTAAGGAAAAATCTCATTTTAGCCAATGATTTGTTACCAAGAGTCAATCCTAATAATGACTTGTTATCTAGTAGTATGTTTTTAAACTCAGTTATTTTTTCATCCCGAGTGAAGATAATCCGAATTCCCTTACTGATATCTGTCTCATTTCAAACAATTTTGAACTCCTCCGGCAACTTCAAAAGATTTTTATTTCATTGAATCATGAATTGATTGATTCTGAAAACATGTAGCAGTTTTGAGGTCATGACGATTTTTGAACTTTTTAGGCTTGATCAAGGTAGAGGTCTTCAGTATTCACTGATGATCAGCTGTACATGAAGAGGAAACAGTAATCTAGTGCTTTGTGGTTTTTATCAGTCCCCTACATTATGTTAACACATGATGGGCAATAGCTTTACATGCATTTGTAATGCATATCTATCATAACTAATGATTTGATAAATATAATCATGGTTTAAGAATAAAATAACCTTCTGTAATTTCGAAAAGAAGCATTTATTACTGTTAATTTCACGATTCAACCATTAATTCGGAATGCTAGGTATCTATGTCTAGTCATATGAGTTGTATGTTTTGTAGGTAACTATTATCATATCTCAAATTGTAAAAGATGGATATCTTACCAAGTGCCCCTTGTTCAATATCGAAACGACTTGCTCCAGCAGCGAAAAATTTAGCATTTGGATTAATTTCCTTTAAAAAGGTGAAAACAGAAAGGCATTCAGCGAAAATCTATTGTATCACAAAATAGTAATGACTTAAAAAAGGTATAATGGACAATTTAGTGTCTGAAGTTCATAATTTTATGGGAAGATATTATAACGGTCCATCAAAATGTTGAACCTCTAATTTGAACTTAATTAGAATGAACGGTCTCATTTATAAAGTGTATACAAAATACTTAGTAGTCAATCTCAGAATCACCATACTTGAACATACTTCAGGACAATACACCGCTTTATTCAGATCAGTAAACGTTTAAGAAAAACAGATGGATTATTTAATAAATTGATTGTGTTGAAATCTTTAACAGAAAACTAGTTACTTCCCGGTCATTGATTTTGAAATGTAATTCAAATCAGATTCATTGACACTCAGAAATAACCACTATTAGTTTGCTGAGGAAAATCATCTCATTTAGCAGAATTAATATAAGCTACTTATCTTACTTTCATTGATAAGTTTAAAAAATGTTATTTGCGTTCAACTACCCCTACGAATTCCAAATGAATACATCAGATCTATTCACTGATATGTGATATTAAGAAAATGTATTACGAGATATGTAAAAATTAGCTATGATTCAATATGATGTCTCTTAAACGATGTAATTCGCAGATTAATAAGCTAAATGCTTGAAGGAAATCAAATAAAAACTTTAAACCTAGTTTTCATGATAACCAGAATATAGTATTAAGGAATATCTAGGATTTTAAGTCCATATCACAATCCGAAATGTTATAACCAGACTAAACATTATCCTAACTAAAAGCATTTTTCTTTGGTGGAATATTTTAGATGGTTCAATAAACATTAAATTTATCGAAGACTGTTTTACGATGATATCCGTGGAATGTTTAAAATTTATGTTTATTGACATTTAGTGAATTGTATAATTATGATTGGACAATTTTATTTTTACCTAGAAATAGTTCTTGATGAAAAACACTTCGACTTCAAGATGGTTTTTGTTATCTACTTCAAGTATCATTTGTCTTATTTACTTATTTTATTTGCAAGTAGTGTATGTTGATCTTTTTAAACTTAGTTAAGTAAAATGTGTTAAATTATGCATGATATAAGATCATTATGAAAGGTAACCCTAACCAATGGTTTCTATAATTTATTCAGTAATAATGGAGTAACATTGTAATGAACAATAACACGAGTGGGGACAATCAAATGTATGAGAACCATATAGTATATGGTTATTTTGAAAAACTATCAATCGATTGTCTCAATCTTGACTGTTCCTTCTGCAAATATCAGTCCATCGTCATTGATTATTATTGTTCATACATTTTAATATCAATTGCGTTTCGTTCCCGTTCTTTCGTTGTCGATTTTCTACTGAACTACATTCAGTGCCCGACTATCATTATATACTACTTATGTGAATATAAGTAAACCACACCACAATATGACCTTTCGATTTATGTTACAGTTTTAATATAATGAAATATCTACGTAAATAATTCTAAATAGTGACAGATAATTTTAATAAAAGTATTTGTTTGACAGCTAATATTCAAAAAAATATTTGATCAAAGGGACATTAGTTTGGAATGTGCGCTAAAGAAATTAGTGTAATTAAATGAAATTAAGATTGATAACCGTCTAAATCAGACATATAAAGTCTCAAAACAATTTTCAGCTATTAAATTGATTGATAGAAAATGTTCAAATTTAAAACAATCATTTTAAGTTGAGATTACTTATGTAAAAGAAAACTAATGAACTCCCGGCGAAAGATCTTATCATTTTCTTGAAAATATCCTTCTAACTGGAGTGATTTTGATCTTTAACTGTTTACTTAGTAACCATAACTTCTTTCTGTAATGAGTGTAGATGGTAGGACTGTTAAAATGTTTACGTCAATCATTTCTTCACTGAAATAATATTATGAATCATTCTGTGGTACAACATATTACCCCAACTTTATTGTGTGAATATACAAGCAAAAATGGATTTCATAGGACTTTGATTTCAAAGTTATTGTAATAATTACAAAATGAACTAAAGATCAGTGAATTGTCGAAACATTTTACTTACATGTGGTCTTTTCCATTCAATTCTCTCTCTGAAATCTGGCAGATTCCCAATGGCTTTATCATTAGCTGGAAAGTCAGGATCTTCCCAAAGTGTCCGTTCAGTTTTTAAACGTTTAACTAGTGTTTCATATTGTTTACTTGCAACATTCATCATTAGTTTAAACTAAAATTCAAATGATGAATACCATGTATAAGCGTTATTTTTCATTTGAAAAGATGTTCTTCTAAAGTGTTTTAAGTAGATCAACTAATATGAAGTTAGTTGGTATTCTATCATCAATATTTATCTTCGTCTTAAGCTTATGATGGTGTCGGACGATTTTCTAACATTAGTTCATGGAACCCTATTTATTCTACTTTGCATAAAAACAATGATCAGAGTATTTTATTGAATAATTATATGTTATAGTGATCATAATGTCAAGGAGACTTCAGTTACTCCAGTATTTTGTTAATAAGGATAACTGTGATAGCATTTTTCCAATTCATATATCCTTGATAATAACCTTTGTTGTTTTTTGATTAATTGTTTTCATTTTTGGCTTGATACATAGTACTCTGGTATCATTAATATAGTTTAAAGTTAGCTCCTCCGAGAACTGATTTCATTTAAAGGATGACTGGGAAACAGAGATCACAGAATATTTTAAGATTTTTAAACAAATTGAAGGATATTCGTTACCCATTTTTAAACTATCTCTATCACGTTAGTATTGTTTGTTTAAATCTTCCAATTGATGATTAGGGCTGCAACTGGTCACTCTCTAATTTGCATATGTGCATACTGTGCGTATTGTCTCGATATAGCCTTAATTCACAAGTATTATAAGTGAAGATGGATAGTGGTTAGCAGTGGAATCCAGTTTGAGGCGCGTTTCGTCCTATTTGGGACTCGTCATCTGGATGTACCTGCATCTCAAAGTTGATGTTCACTCTGTGAGTCGAACCCAGTACCTTTCGCTTCAAATGCCATCGCGTTATCTCTATCACGTACTACAAACAAGTGAATTCATTGAGTTATTACTTATGCAATAGTGTGGTGAATTACAAAACAAATTATTCACTTGACGACAGTTCTCTGTTGATTAAATTTTTATTTTACTTTTGGTCATTGTCTCAGTCCACAGAAAAATAACTTTATGAATAATTACTGGTATCAAATAAATTGGTGATTTATAATAGCTGTTTCTTGTCATTTAGTCTGAATCTAAGTGATTTATTTTCTGCTATAAAGTTTGATTACTTGGTTTTTACTTTTGTAATGGGTAGTGATCAAGCAAAGATGCATATTTATTCCTAGTTTATGTTACTTAGATGGAACAACTTACATTTTAGATTGTTGGCGTTTCAAACGATTTAGAGTCACAGTACTATTTGTCATAAATACTTAAGGTAATTCTAATTTCAATTGAAATACTCAAAAAGAAAATGTGTTTCCTAGCCAACACATAGTATAGACGAACCTTTAGATATGTTTCAAGTTATTTTTACATACAAAAGTCAAATAGCTGACACCAGTACCAGAATACATACCTTAGCATATCCTTTTGGAGTAAGTGTTTTAGGAAGATATGGATTAAATTCCATACGCTTTGGACCTTTGATGGGTTTTAATACATTCACTAAAATATTAACAAAAAGGAAACGTTTTGTCTGTTGAATAACAACACTATTTAGTTTATATTTAAATGAATAGACAAATGATGTATAAGAATTGATTTAATAATGTTTCGAGATTGCCTACACATGAATGATTTAACATCAGATACCGTTCAGACATCAAGTAGATGCCAAGTGTTTAACTTTAAAAAATTTCTTTAAGCCTTTCAAGATGAATAATTTTAAAACCATTCACTGAACGAAATCTAAATTCCAAATTTGATTTTACTTTAATAGTTGAATTTATGAGTCGATGTAAGTTAGATAGCCATTGAAAACTTGGAAAGTCGTTTCATCCAAGTATGGGACTCAGCAATGCACATCCCAGTCTCGTGCGTGGAACTGGAACCCAGGATCATTGTTCTCGGGTGCGAATGCTTAAACTCTTGACCACTAAGTCGGCATTCAACTGTGTTTATGTCTAACTTTAATTAATCGATGTTCCATGAATATGTATATCTGTCGATATAACTGATTTGTAAGAGGGTAATGGTTGGATTGAATTAATCTATTTCGTGAACTGGACTTGCGGCTATAGAATTTCAATTAGTAGTCCTTAAAATTTCAACTGATCGATTTTATTCAGTCATCATCATTTGACATCATTTTACTTTACACAATCGTCTGGATATTTTTAGCATTCACGATCTCTGCTAGATTTTTAGGTGATCATAGGAACTCTGTTTATATCCATAAAGACTGATCTGAGTAGACAAAACGTGTATTTGAATTGATTTTACCTTCTATATTAGTCCATTTATTAAACACATAAGTAAATAAGTGCCGATGTTTGTAAAGGTTTGTATCATCTTGTTATTGACGGTCGGAAATGAATTTTGAACAGTCTTTAGTGATACGTGTGGACCATAAACAATTTGGGTCAATAGAGATTGTTTATTATACATTATGGCGTACTTGAATGGTGTCTGGTACTGGTACTCCAGACTAGTACTTCGTCCAATTTGGGTCCCATCAGTTGGCTGTGTCAGGGTAATGGTGTTGATTTTCACACTAAGATCAGAACTTTATACCTATAGCTCTAAACACTGGGGTGGTTCATTGTAAACACCAACATGGGGATAAAAATGCATTGAGCCAAATTACTTCAAATAATATGAAAAACATTTCCTTGATTTCAATGCTATTCATTATCTAAATTTACTAAACTGTACGCATTCAAATTATACTCATTTGTTCAATGTGCCTAAGTTTTATCCATATTCTCTTCTTTAAAGTTAACCATTTGAAAATGAATCTCTTTTCGTTAGTCTGCAATTGATCATAATAAAATAACTGTCTACTTTAAAATTAGTTTAGTCAACTTCATTAATAGGTTAACTCAAAAATAATTTATAATAATTCTGCCAAAAATTTATCGGAAAAGGGAGAAACCATTGGATGTTTGTTATAATAGTCCTCACAACCTTAAACTGTTAGCTAACAAACCACATATACAGTGTAACACTTAAAAGTTTTAAAAAAAATGCCTGAATTCATGCCGAATGACTTGTTTTAAGACTTCAATCAATGACTCATAGTGTCTGGTAGCTTCACGATGCCTGATAAGGACTTAGGTTTGATGAAGACATTGAAGAGCAATAAAGTAATTGTAATCATGATGAACCATCAATAGCCGAATAAAACCAAATAACTATTTCGGTTTAGCTTGAGTTTTTTCATTAGTTGGTTACTGTTTAATGTGGGTTGAAAATTAGGGTACTCAGATTTCGTTTATTGCAAAATATTTTCGAAGAATTCTCATTCTCTTCCATACCTTACCTTGAGTTAGGTTTTTTGAATTTTCAGTAAAATGTTAAAATCTCTCAGATGGACTAGGTTTGAAGTAATGTAGTTGCCTACCATCAATTCCGTAACAATATGAGAGATACTAAATAATGTGGGCAATGAGATATTGACCAAGTGAATAAATAATTTCGTCCTAACTTAAAAATCGTTGATTTAATCTCACTTTAACTGATAGATAAACACTACAGAAGCGGTTTACACTAGGAGGGAATAGCTACTCATAGCCATAATCATACACGTTAAGCATATGCACAGATTTGTAGTCAATTTTTCATCTTCAAAGTGTAGTTATTAAAGTAAATCTTTAAATAGTTTTTATTTGTTGTATGTAAATAAAATGATAAAGTGTAACATTTCTTTGATACAACATTTTATTATCATTTTTACGTATAATGTACTATTCACATGTTATGTAATAATATTCGTGAATTTTTCAAAGCGTAAATTAATTTTAATAGTTGAGATCATGGGTCAATTGAAGCTAGATTATCATGGAAAACCTGGAAGCACTGAACGGCCGTTTCGTCCTACTGTGGGACTCCTCAACAGTTTTCATCCACGATCTCGCCTCGTGAGATTCAAACTCAGGACCTATGGGTTTCGCGCGCGAACACCTAACCTCTAGATCCGACAGTATTAATGTCTAACTTCAACATATCCACAAATTCAACGACACATCCACCATTGTCTTCAGTGAATTACTATCTCATAACAGACCTGATTGAACTTCACTGGTCACTGTTTATCACTAGAACTCCAGGAAATACCTCTTGAAGCCAGTCACCAATGAGCATATGTTTAATTAGTTATTAACTAATCATATAATAACTGTACACCGATATCCAGCTGATTAGACATTAATTAGTTTTTACCAACCAATGAATATTCTAACAAAATTTATTTATTTAATAAAATTTAATCAAAGAATTGTTTTGTTAAACAAACTGTTCAAGTGGGAAATATGCGGAAGAAAAAAAGGAAAAGAAAACTCTTTAGATTCTTCTTAATATTACATTTATAAATAAGGGAAAACTAAATAGACCTGACCAAAATGACTTAATTTGGGGCTCGTTAGTTTTTTCTTTTCATACTAGTGTACTATATATAACATCCTAGATACTCTATTTGTTAATGCAAAGCATATCAAGAAAACGATTTTTATTTACCATTTTAAGTTTCAGTAAACTTGAGATACTACTTATGATATTTTGAAAAAAAACAAAGGAAATCGGTTTATGAGTGTATACAGTTTTTGTAGGTTATATCACATAGATATCACATAGACAACTATTTGAAGTTGACTAGATCTAGATAACTGCTTTCTTAACACTAAATACCCATGAACAGTTGAGTAAAGACGAAGATGAAAATGAAATGATAAAATTTTAATCTAGTGGTCCAGTCACATAGTTCCTATGATGACATTTTATGGATTTAGATTAGAGTTCTTTTGCAAAGGGGTGTATGCACAACGTTATAAAGTATTATTGATTTTCCAAATCATGCCATTATATAATGGTGGTACATTTTTTTTATCATTATGATAAAAAATATTTAAAATAATTTAAGGTGAACTATGTATGGATATTCAAAATTCAGTATATTCAAGTAAGAATACAGTAATCTTTTAAGCCACTAGTACAAAATTGTAAGTTTTACTTGTACCACCAATAATACCATGAGAATTATGAGATTCTTTAAGTCAATTAACTAAAATATACCTAAGAATGAATTCTAGATTACATTGTAGATGCATCTACTTTATTAGTTTCTTTTGGTTAATTGACCTTTATATTCCTGAACATCTTCATGAAATCTGATTCATAGACTAAGATAAAAAGTCTTGTGCATTTAGTCTAATCATCTGAGGTCAGTAAAACTGAATAAACATTCAAAAACTATGAGAACATTATAGATAGAATATTTGTTCGTTAATGTCTCTAGTTTAATAATAAATAATAATAAACTATAATATGAAATTAGTTTTGATAATACTCACAGTAATCATCTGGCGTTTCTCGTTTCACTTTGATTATTCTACCAGTACGTGGATCCACTACCTCTTTACCAGGACGGTTAGTTCGTCCAGATACATTTTCATCAGGAGAATAAACCTATCATTTTATATACAAATAGATAAGAGTGAAATCAATAGTAGGCATAAAAAAAGAGTAATCGCTATGAGAATTTGTAATTGTATCATTATTTCTCTCACCCACTCTAGCCTGTATTTATTGTATTCATGAATCTTAAAATTTCAATTGATGTAAGCTGATTCAAGTTAACTTTGCATTTGACTCATCTCAATATAACAAGTTTATTGTGTGTAACAATCTTAAATTCACATGTTATAACTTTAAACAATGCACTTTGCCCTAAACCTGGTTACTTTATCGGATTACTGTATAATTGTAGAACATAAAGAGAATTGATTGAAAAGAATATTGTTTTTTCATACATAACAATTAACGCAATAACAGGAATAACGAACATTTTCACTGTGTTGATCAATATCAGAAGACATGGATGATGATGATGATGATGATGACGATGATGTAGGGGAATAATACTGACTATAGTATCTCATTTTAAGAAGGGTTATTTTTTATCTCTAAAATTCTTCTAAAAAATGTAAAATTGGGCAGTAATATTTACATATATTATCTATATATACATTAACAAAGTATGGTTTACACGGGATAGTCTTATGAATCAGAGCATGAATATCTAATGATATGAAAATAAAAATGAATGATTACTATCAGAAGGGGCTTTTGTGGAGATATTAGTAATTTTATATATTTGAAATCATTAGTCAATTAAAGCTAGACTGATAAATCCTTGGTTCGAATCTCGCGAGGCAAGATCGTGGATACGCACTGCTTAGGAGTCATTCCCACGATAGGACGAAACGACCGTCCAGTGCTTCCAGGTTTTCCATGGTTGTCTTGCTTCAATTGGCTCATGGTTTCAACTGTGTATTTTATATATTAATTTAAACATGAAAATACATATAAATAAATAAAAGAAATAAAGTATCATCTCTTACAATTTGTATTCGTCCCATTATTGTTCTTAGAAATTATAATAAATGAATTAAGTTGTTTTCAAGTTTTCTACACCAACTTTAATCGTTCACTAAAACTGATTGAAATGATAATAAGAGACTAAGTAATATATTTAAAATTATATTAATCTAATACGGACATACACTTTCTCTCTCTATCTCTGTCAAATACACTCATATATATGTGTATCTATGCACTCATATTTATATACTACTAATAAATATGTATCTATGATAGAATTTTTTCATATAGTGTTTTCAATAATGAAAAATCTACTTTTTATCGATTAATGTGCATTTATGTACAATTTTGTAAATGTATGTTTGTATGTGTAAAATAATAAATAAATATAGATTGGTTCAATTATTCTTTGAGCACATATATTACAATAAATGAAAAGAAAGAAGAAAAAAAAGAAAAAAAAACTGAAAAAAGAACAAACTAGCACTTTGGTGAAATCATTTAGATGGTTATATAGACAGGTATATTTGGAATAAACATCTATTCTGATCTCTTAATAATAATTTATAAAGTATGTGCAAATATACTGTGGATAGATGAATAATTCATTACTAAGTGTAGATATTTTACTGTTATTTACTTGTATGTATTCTATAATCATTGATTAAATATTTAAGATAATGTAAAATGTTCTAATGATTTATTATTCATTTCGAGTTTAAAAATAAATATTAAAAAAAACATTTTTTTTAGGTCTCCTAGTTACTATGGCGTTGCCATGAAATTCATTATTGATGATAATAATAAAGAAATATATTGAACGTGTTTTTGTAACATAAACTGATATTCGATTAATAAGTGATAGTAGGGATGTAATTATTCGATGTAATTATTCATATGATTTTCTTAGCTACAATCAGAACTAACTGATTATATTCACTTAGTATTACTTGTTTGAATCTTCCTAATGATGTTTAGGACTGCAACTGGTCAATCTCTTATTGGCATATGTGCATACTGTGCGTATTGTTTCGATATAGCCTTATTTCACAAGCACATCAATGGGAAGATTCAAACAAATAATAATAAGTGAATTTATACTTCACATTGCACAAGCAAGTGGCTATCAGGACTCAGTAGACGCGATGGCATTTGAAGCGAAAGGTACTGGGTTCGAGTCCCAGAGTGAACATCAACTCTAAGATGCAGCTACATCCAGCTCGAATAGGCCAAAACGCGCGTCAAACTGGAGTCCATTGCTAACCAATATCCATCTTTGCTTACAATAACTGATTATAGCTGTAAATTATCTTTGCATTATCGTGATTTCTGATGTCCATCAGATAGTTAAATGTAGTCGATTGCAAGAAATTAGTAATAAGTGACTGAATTCTAAAGATTAGTTACTTTATTGTATTTGAAGTCGCAGATAAATACTGTGAATCAAATAGAATGATTTTATATGTAATTCGGTAATCAGCTGCCAAAACATTTTAACCATTTGATGAAGTCAGTCGTTGTTTAAATGTTTCATTATTTATTTCTCTTAAAGTTTTCACTTTTTGAAATAACCCATATCTCAATACTAACAACTTTATGTTATTTTAAAGACAATCCTAATTTTCCATGGTATAACTTTAGATCTTGTTTTAGCCTTTTAATTGGCCATTTTTCAGATTATTAATTTACATATATAACTGTTGAAGTTGAGAATAATTTATCAATAAGATTAGTCTTTTTTCACATATCGGTATTTTAATGTGAAAAAGACTTTGCAACAACTTCATACTCTGAAAATCAGGAAGCATTGAAAAGCTGTTTCGTCCTAGGATGTGACACCTCAGCGGTTCACAACCACAATCCATGACAGGGAATCGGACCTGAAACCTTCAGTTTTGCGCACGAAAGTTCAACCTCTTAAACACTGAACTATCCGATGAATCTTCGTTTTCAGGAGAGGTCTAGCTAAGATCAGTTCATAATTTGAAAACTTTGAAAATTCTATAACCTCCACAAAATTCTGCATTGATAATTTCATTTTTATATACAGTGAACACTAAAGAGTTCTTCCTTTTGCTTATTACTATTTGTTTTATTCGATAAAACATTATTGCTGATACTACACAATGAACTTTAACTTGACCTGGTGCAATTACATAAAGAAATGTGCAATTCAAAATCCACAAAAATACCTTACTCATCATCTAATGATCATTATTATGAAAGTCGGTATAAAGTTTTTGATCGATTAATACATTCCATCATTTTAATAAAGGTGATTCAGTTTGTACTTTAGTTTATTGATTAGAATTCTTTTATATCTAAAATAATTGTAAACTTTTAAGACTGTAGTAATATAAAGTTGTCATGACAAAATATGTTATATATATACCCATATATCACTCCATTGTGTAAATGAATATTCAGCGGTATAATTTAGTCAAGTTGTATGGTAGTTTGTATACCTATTTTTATTTAAAGTTATTTATTGATGGCTAACATTGACTGAAATTTTGATTATTTAGTAAGTTATTAAAGATTGAATTACCTACTTATTTATACCTGTTACTCCTCGTGGAGGAGTATAGGCCGCCGACCAGCATTCTACATTCAACTTCGTTCTGAACAATCCTTTTCAGTTCTTTCTTGTTTCTGTTCATTCTTTTCATGTTACTTGGTCTTGCTCTTTTACGTTTCGTTTCAGGATTTCACGTTAGTGCTTGTCTCGTGATGCAGTTCGGTGATTTCTTCAATGTTCATCCTATCCACTCCCAGTGTCTTTTCTTAATTTTTTTTCATCTACATTGGTTCGTGTGTATGGTATAGAAGGGCTAGATCATCTGTGACACCCAAATCACCGAGCCTCATTCAATTTGTTCACTGTATTTCGTGCTTCCCCTCAGATGTCAACGTTTTCATAATCCTCCAGACAAACACCAGAAGAAAGAGAAAGGAGGAAAAGAGCAGCCTTGTCTGACTATGGTTTTCACTTCAAATGCGTCTGTCAGGTGTTCTCCGTACAAAATTTTGTGATATGTTCTGTCGAATGAATTTTCGATGATAATGATGATCTTCACAATTACTCACTCCATAGTATCGAAGAAGTTTCCATAAGGTTCTCCTATTCATACTGTTGAAATCCTGCTCATAATCAAGGAAGTTGATACATAGTGACGAGTTTCATTGAATTGATTGCTGAACGGCGTTCCGTAGTGCTGCGATTCGGTTTATGCGCGACCGATCCTTACAGAATCCAGACTGTTGATCCCAAACTTTGGCATCTACTGCATCTTTCATTCTGCTCATCAACACTGTTGAAATCTCTTCTTGGTATCGATAGTAGCGTATTTCTCACACTTTCTCAGATTACCTTTCTTTGTTATCTTGATGAGTTGTCGTTCTTTCCAGTCTATCGGCACTTGTCGGTCCTACCAAATCTTTCTGAATAGAACGTGGGGAATACTTTTATGTCTGATTCCAGTTGTTCGATTGGTACATTTTCAGGTCCCGCTGCTTTCTCACTCTTGATTTGCTCGATGGCCATCCTGATTTACTCGATCGTTGCTGGAGTGACAATAATTTGAAGATCTGTGTGTACTGCTTCGGTGCTTTGATGTGAAACTGTAACCAATAGATTGAAAATAAATTAAGAATAGCAAATTATATAATAGTAGTTAAAAAGTCTAGCAAAAGCTAATGATAAAAGGAATATATATATATATATATATATATATCATCTAGTAACTTAATAGACATACAATAGGAATATATATATATCATAACAGTCTATAAATAATTCCCGGAAGTAACCAATAATTTAATATTCTTCGGATACAATAATGTGTTATAACGTATGAGTGTCTGTTTGATATATCGATTGCTTGCGCGTGCCCTCTTAATATATAAACGTCCAATAATACATAAAATCGTACGAGCAGTCTTGGGTGCTATTCGGTCCTTCCTATCTGCCTAGCCCAGCCAGTTAAGTCCAGAACACAAATAACAGCCTCAGCAATATGAATCATTATTTACAAGCATACTGGGTTTTTATACAAACCAAAGTAATCAATAAACTGATTATAACTCAAGAATCGTATGATCATAAATCAAAGATCAAAATAATAGAAAACACGAATATGAATAATTTAGTTACGTAACAACTGCACAATAAGAAATAGTCATAATACATTGGTCGATAAATAGTCCTTAGAGTTATCATTCATAATTCACCAGGGGATATAACATAATGCATTTATATTCTCCTCATGAGCTAAATCATGTAGAAAAATTTATTAGTGTGAAGCTCAATAATGTTACCCAGTGTTACTCAAAATGGAAGTTGAAAGTTACCTCTGCTTAATATCGATATACTCTTTTTTCCAACCTAGACTTCACGGTAAATGATTACGTGTTACCTAAGTTCCATACAGTAATGGACTTAACACTCAAGTATTTCCGCAACTTGTCCTTCTCTGAACAGGTCTAAACATAAACGTCGAAGTCTCAACGAATTCTGGTTTGCAGAATTTGTAACCTCTGTAACAATAATTTACGTATTTCAGTTTACAAAGTATGTGTCCAGCTACTCACTGGACTTTTATTTTTAGTAGTGTTCGCACAGAGAATAAACTATTGCTGGGATGCGTTAAATAGCGATTTGTCCTTAGTATTCTTGAGAATAAATGTGCAGTAAACTGAAAGTTTAAAGGTGGTAAGCATGAACTCAACCCTTTATGAAAGAGTAGACCTGAACTAAATTCACATTTTGAAAAAAAAATTAGTGAACTATCCTTTACATACACTGATACAGTCCAATAGCAGAAACGCCTTGTTATAGAATCTTTGACTTGTTATCACTAGTGAAATTATCTCATTTTAAATGTTCTCTCTATATGAGTTGTTTTACCAGTAAATCACGATCATCATCCTTTGAAACAGCCTTAAAGGTGTTTACTCCACCATTGCTCTAGTAATGTTATAGGAATATTAAATGTTTGATTATAATTATTGCTGAGTTCATTCATTAAACTACCCTTCC